CTTATTTCGCGATTCTTCTAGTTTAAGCGATTTTTTAGTTGAGCTGCCATTATAGTTAATTGAATCGACAACTCTAAGTATGGCACTAAGAACGCTGTTCGGGTCTGTTAAAAATTTAACTAACTCTTTAATTAAAAGGATTTTAAAGTTATAGTTATTGCCCAAAGTATCGTACATTTTGCATGGTCACGATCATTGAGGCCCATATTTAAGACATTGTTTATTGTTACAGGTGGCTCGGGCGGGCAAGGTGTCTCAGTTTCGACTCAAGTGAGTAAATTGTACTTTCCGATTCCAACTTAATTAAATCATACATGCGTCGTGCGTTTCAGGTATCGCGCTTTGTCTCAGTACAGGAGCGCGTGGCACATAACATGTTATCCAGCATACTCACACATTATTATTTTTTCAAAATGTATAATTATTTTTTTTATACAGATATTCGTATTATTAGATTTCTAATGACAATGGAAGGCATAATTTATGGAAAATGGCACCTTTGAGCTAACTTATGTATGTAAATGACGTGAGGGTTCTGTTGACAATTTTCTTTAGAATTGGATTACGTGAAGAATTTTTCTATAGAGATTTAATATATGTGATATGTAAAAAAACTATATTATTAATTTCATATCCTATTTTCCGTTTCATTGAAAAATAATGCAAGTCGTTCAAATTCATGCTACGTCTGGGATATATGATGATTTATGGTCGGTTGATATTATATACGTTTTCAAAACTCCGTAAAATACTGTGAAACTTTCTACATATATTACGGGATATCAAAGGAACTGCATACTTTGCGAGGACTTAGTTATCATTTCATATTTTTGTTATTTCTAATAGCACTCATTTTATCGTCAGCTAGTTCCATATATAAAGCTCACTATTATTGACATACTTCAATGCTTTTAAATTATAATTATGTTTGACATATAGAAACACTTTAGCACAGAATTCGACTTCTAACAAATTCTATAATAAATCTACTTTATTTGTACCAATATTCTTCTGAGTTGAACTAAAAATTTTATTATATTTATTTTTTTATACAAAAGTTTTCCATTTCTGGCTAAAGGACTTGTATTCATAGTCATGTAAATTTTTTATTTTTGGTTGCAATTCATATAGTTGAACATTTTAAATTTCGAATATGTAATTAATGAATGTGTTTCTGTGCCAGCAATGTACACGGGTGTTGCTGGCTGGCTGTTGCCTTGCTGGCAAGATTAAAAAAAAACAACCATTAATATTAACAATTTTCAAATGGAAATAGAACTGTCAGTAGTTAGATTAGAAGCCAAGTTGTGGCTATATTGACTACACTATTGAATGACGTATATCTTAGCAGATATGTGATGAATCCTTGCAAGAAAGATCTGCCTTTTAACATCAAACAATTCATTTTTCACCGGGAATCGGACCCTGGATGTCAGTAACCTATAAAGCTTACTGTCTACAAGAAAAATATTTCTAGAAAAGCAGCTTTTATATAATATAAAACCAGTCTTGTGTAATTTAAAATACATTCTGTAAAAGCTCTGTGGCTGTGCTTCAAAACTAATGGAAAAATATACTAAATTTTCAAACTAACTTAGTTCTGTTCTGTCTTGTTTTAATTAGTACCGTAAACTAAAACTATTATCGCAAACATTAAACGCGTAATCATGTCTAGAATGGTTGAAGGACGAGGGAAATAGGAAAGTTCCAAACTTAAACTGCAATTTGAGATACTCCGCTGGGAGAGATATTATTTATTTGAGTTTGAAACTCAACATTGCTTTTTGCCATTTGAGAAACATATGTTATCATATGAAATTTATATATAAAATTATAAATTTAATACTATTAAGAGTCCGAACCCAATAATCAATCCACAATCTCAGATTGAAAACAATCTGAGATCAGACCGTGACAGTGATCGATCTCCTATCTGCATCCCAATATCCAAACCCTACGAAGACAATCCATTTTAGGCGACGGATAAAATGCTCTTTGTCGTTCCACTTTACCGAGTTTTCACTCATATTTGATAATCAATGCTGCTGCAGAGGTTCAATCCATATTTGTACTGCAGAAGCGGGCTGTTCGGGGTATTTGTTGTGTTTCTCCGAGGGAGTCGGTACGGAATAAGTTTAAGGAATTAAATATTATGGCACTATCTGGTCAATATATTCTTGAAGCCTTGTTGTATGTCCAAAAAAATATAAACGATTTTAAAACAAATGGTGACTTTCACCAGTATAATACGCGAAATAGAACTAATTTGATTGTACGACCAACCAGGCTCCAAAAGATAAACCACTCCTTATATGGAAATTGTATTCGTTTTTACAACAAACTCCCAAGCGAAATTAGGGAATTATCATTATATGTATATTATATACATCATTATATACATCATATTATTATTATATATAAATTCAAAGCCCTCGTTAAACGAAAATTAATGAACAAAGCTTTTTATAAATTTGAGGACTACTTAAATGATCCTAATCCTTGGGATTGATTTGCTCCAGATCAAACAATTTGTATGACAATACTTGGCGATTAAAAAGAGTGGCGGAAAGCTTCTTGCCAGTTCTTCTTACCCGCTTTACGATTAATTTAACTTGACGATTCAAAAGTGTACTTGGTTACCCACTTGAATAAAGATATTTTGAGTTTGAGTTTGAGAATGTAAACCTAATAAAGTAAATAAAACCGTACAAATAACATTAAAATAAAATAAAATTTAAAAATGTTATATTTATATGAAATTTTTTAATATTAATATTGTGTATGTTTAAAACATAACAAACGGGGTGGAGGCTCACTTGATGTTAAGTGATACCGCCCATGGACACTCTCATTGCCAGAAGGGTCGCAAGTGCGTTGACGGCCTTTTAAAAGTTATTTAAAATCTATGCAGCGTATGTTTAATAAAATGCGTATGCTAATTAAAGAAAGTACTTTTAGTCTTTCTTAAAATACGGAACTGCCTAAAAGCTTTTATAAGATACTAGCTGTACCCAGCCACGCTTCGCTGTAGCACATTGTGATTGAATGGTTGAGAAATGAGAAACAAAACAAAGAATACATTTCATAAGAGTTTAATTTTGCAATAGGTTCTTGTGGAAAGAGAAAGAAAAAAAAATACACACCAAAAAATTAGATAAAAACAATCCTTGATGCGCTTATATATCATGCTAAAATATCAATTCAATTTTGTTTTTTCGTCCTAGGAAGAAATAACAGCCACTCATGGCCACGTGTAATAAGTTTTCAGAATCCCAATTAAATGCGCCAATTGTAATACAGGGTCACTTTTCGGTCGAGTACTTTTTTTTCACAGTGGGGTCCGAAGTAAACAAAAAGATATGAATTGAGAAAATTTTATATCGTATAACTTAATATTATCTTCAATACACCCAATAAATAGCATGTCTAGCGCAAGGACTCGTCAGTACCAATCTAGTGGATATTATGAAAAAGATACAGGTGTAGATTTTTTCGAATTTGAAAAAAATATTTTTTTTTATAAAAAACGCAAAATTATAACTGTGCAGGAATTGAGCTGAAGGACCAATAAATAGAATATAACAGGATAGAAAAGGAAAGAACAATTTTTTGCAGTTGATGAACCCATCTAACCTCTAGTTGCGTTTCGCGATCCACGACTTTTAGGCCATCCTGTATATATAGATTTAGGAAAGATTTTTATCCAACAAGAATTGTAAAAATGTTTATATGGAAAGCATCAGCTGCGCTCCGAACGAACTGAAATTAAACGAACTCCAACTTAGATAGTTTGAATCGAACTTGTAGTCTACAAATTGCATGGAAAATCTGTACAAATATTATATTGATGTATAGTAAAACGTAATTAAAGGTTAAGCCTTATTTGAAAGATACTCGTATATTAGTAATACTGTACTAATCCTTATAAGCCTGATACGATGCAATCTTATACAAATAACAAGAAATTATGCCTTAATCCAGCTGTAGAAACATAACGTTGAAACGGACTTTCACAGGAAATAGATCATGTCTCTTGAGGAAAACTTGACTTCATTCCCGATTCACTTGTCTTGTGTTTATGAACTTAATTACTCTTGTTTACTTATTTAGATTTAAGATATTATTGTTTAACTGTATATTAGTTTTTTTGCTCTATACAAATATAAATACGCCCTTACCGATAAAACAGCCACAACTCATATTATACAATTATATTTATACATGTCCTGGTATGTATAAATGAGGAGCTTATTTCTAAATGTACCGTCTAAGTGTGCGAAATTTAATTTTATTATATTACATAATATCATTGGTTCGACATTCTGGTGGAATCTTGGTCTAGTTTATGTATCCACCACACCATTATAAACTTCTTTTTATGAATATAATTATTAATAAATAAAAACTTACCTACTAATAATTTAACAATAATTAATTGTCTTAAAGTGCCATTCAGAGCACAACGTATCTAATGTTTCTGTATTAAGCATTTATCGTAATTATGGGCAGAACGAAAAAAATATTCATAGTAGATATCAATAGAGTATTCTTAACATAAAAATTACATGAATAAACTGTGGTTCGCGTAATGATTAATTAATTAATTATAAATAAAAATATAATAAAGGTACACTGCCACAGGGACAAATTTTTAAAATGTATCTTTTCATCCATTTTTCTCATTCTGTTTCTTATTTATCCATTGTTGAATAAGATTATTACTATCACGGTTAAGAATATTGCAAATACTCTATCGTGTGAACTTAATATTAAATTAAACAACGAAACATAAATTAAAACAAAAACCTTGTACTATACAAAATCAAATGCCATATCGTCATAATAAAAGCTCAATATTAGCTATAAACTACAATGAAATATCGGCAACATAAATATTTTCTATCCCTTAATAAATACAATAAACTTAGACTATCTGACAATAGCAAACTAAACTCACATTAAAATGGTAATAGCAAAGCTCACAGACAGAATTAATCCCGATGGCAGTGACCTGGCGTTCAATTGCAAATGTAGCTTCAGACTATAAAGCTTTTTCCAAGAGAACCAATAAAACAAAACGCTTTCTATTCCTAATAAAATTTCCATTTTATGCACCCTTTGTGGAAGAGACTGAGAGACTTGTAAAGTTTGAAGTATTCAAGATTAGCAGCATTTTGGAGCTGGTAAATAAATATGTTAAAATGCATCGTTTTGAATTATATACAAGATAGTTTTAAGTTATATTGTTAAATCTAATTTTCTTGTGTAATATTTGGTTTTTATCATCGAACCCATTTATAATATAGAAATTCTATTATAATGGAGCGACTAAATACTAATATTTTCGTATCAAGGTTTATAAATGAAATGTAAAATTATATAAAGATTATTTAAATTTTATTTATTATTATTATTATTTAGGAAATATAGAGGCTTTAAGTCTTATTGGAAAAGTTTTTAAATAAATTAAAAATTCTTTCGTTAAACAAATTTTTGAAGTGTAACTAAGTGTTCTTTAGGCGCATGTGGGTCGAATTTTTACGGAACGTCACGAAGATGTGCAGCTTTTTTTTCGAAGAAAAGGGAGAGAACTATTGAGAGAGAGTGAGAAGGGTAATTTACCTTATAGAAATTCTACTTAAAAAAAATTGTAAAGATAATTTATGAAATATTAGTATTTTATATTTGATGCAAAATCTCTCCCTCTAAGTCTCGGAAATCTAAAGTTTTAGATTTGTATAAATATGAAGAAGAGTTAAAAATTAGTTTGCCAAAGAAATTTCACTTCTGACATGTGTACTTTGTATACAAGCACTTTTTTTTACAAAAAATTTCGCCATTGTTTCGTCATACTTTTTGGCAATGGCTTTGTGAACATAAAATCTTTGAAATACTGAATATGCAAGAAAATACAAGTTTGTCAAAGCTCTCTTAGTTAAGCCAATAAGACACGAACGCACGTTGCGTTCGTTTCACAGTATGATAAATTCATTTTCCATTATGGAGGGTGCCATACTGATTAATATAATGCGCGTTTCTTCGTTAAGATAAATTTGATAACTGTGTCGAGTGAAATTCTAATTGTGTATTTTAATATTCGTAGTTTCTCGTTAGACAAAACCATGATTCGGCACTAAAGTTTAAAAAGAAAATGTTTTATTCATTTCAAGCAGCAAACTTTGCAAATTGGCAGACCGTGACAAATGGATAAGTTATAACAGCGTACTACGAAACGTAAAGCGGTTATGATATATAATTTACTTTCCTCTTACTTGATGAATATATTTATGCCTAAAAGACCTCGCTATCTAAACATATATCCCTTGAATAAATTTAATAATTTTCGATTAATTGTGTCTCGTTATTTATTATTATCGTTCATGATTGTCGCTATGTATATTACATTGAGCAATAGTTTGAGCTAAAATTGAATTATTCAAATTTGTAGTAAACTGAACTTTGTATGGAAAATCAATGCGTTCGAGCTGTCAGAAATGAACAAGTATGTCGCTTACGAATACGTGACGAAACTATCATAAAGTTTGACGGCGTAGCTGGCATAGGCGGTTGTTCGGTTTGTTGACAGTAATTGTTATTGCCAGATATAAAAATATAAACTTCAAGTATATTTGTATATTTTAGTTCATCAACATTGTGTAATACTGCCTCTATGAATGCATTTTATATTATATATTTTGTTTCTTTTTATATATTTACACTTATGCACAACCACCTTCAGGGCCCACAACATAATGAGTGTTGTCGGAGAATGGAGAATAATAATTGAGTTGCTTCGTGTTTCGCAACAAACATTTTAGAAATAAGTATGTGAACTGAACAACTTTTCGATTCAGTATTTAAATCAGACATTATTCTTTAAACCTTTATCAACTTATACATTATCGTTACAGGCAGACATAGCACAATCAGCGAAAGGCTACGAATCAGAGGATGAAAACGCGGGCAGAAAGAGACCGAAGGTCAGTGACGACCGCCCCACCAGCCGGACGACAATGTACTCCAAACAGGTAATAATTTCACAATTTGCAAATTTTATGAGGTTCATTTTAGAATGTAGATCCTAAAACAACGACTATAACGGCATCACCTCAAGAATCGAATTACATACATATTATAAAGTCATAAAATCACAAAATATCACCATGGACAAATCAGCAATTAGGGAATTATCTGATTTTTAACTTTATTCTACTGGATATCTGTCATTTAATAACACAAATGCTTGAGAATACTATGAGCATTGTACATATACATAAAAGGTAAAACTTTACAATACTTAGGTACCTACTAAACGTAGATAGTCACAAAGCACAGTGACTATTTACGACAATCAAGGCACTCTGAATCCGCACACTGTGATTAACCTTTATCTCTTGAAACCGCGTCCGCGTCCAAGACTGTATAAACTGAAAAAATCTCCAGATCTTAACTAAATAACATAGCATATTTCAGTTAAGTTTTTGATAGAACCTCTCTTAAAACGGTCTTAAAACACATCAGAGCTTGTTGAAATCGTCTCAAGTTTTAGAAAAAACATTTTAAATCCACCCGTCTTCGTAACAATATATATAAAAATACTTTAAGTATTTTCTGCACAGACATAAATACCAGCAACAAATATTGCATTTTATAGCTTCAAAATAAGTGGCAAGATCGTAAAACTAATATAAATAAATAGACTAGGGTTTCTCAGCGGTGCTCAATCACTATTGTAGCGAAGCAATTTCTTCGACATCAAATAGGTCGCGATGTTATCACGTTTGATCGATGTGAAGTAAAATAATAAAAGAAAGAACAAAGATGTTCATAGGTAACTTAGACTTGTTTTTAGCATGGAGTATTCCGGAGATTAGTTTTATGAAGTATATTTCAGTCGGGAAAAGTTGGGCTGACACATATTTACCAGACTTTTGCTGTATACAATCAGTATATAGTATCAAATCAATGGCATAGTATAGATATTCGACTGTTCAGACTTAAGGCAATTGCAATTCTCAACCTAATATTTTATGCAGGATTCTGACCCAGGACCCAACCAAAACAGTATGAAACCAACGTTTAAATATTAAAATAATTGTACAAGCAAAGGTTGCAAAAGTTAGTTAGTTTTAAAAGCGTGGCGATTTCCAAAAACGTCGGAGTTTGCCAGACGCTGGCACACTCTTTTGCATTACATTACATAGCATTCGTTTTATAGCAATTCCCATTTAATTGATTACTATTCTTTGGTTATACGTGCGAGTTAAATATCGAGTAAAAATAATATCCTCTATTATTAATAGCATCCCGTTGACAACGTCGCAATAGTATGTAATATTATAAAAATTAAACGCATTTCGATCGACAATTTTCCAATTCAAAAGAATACTTTTTCGAATATTAGTGTAATAATAATAGACAATATAATTTTAAAGGCTAAATTCCAAGAAAACTTGTGTACAGAAGCGCTGTTAAATAACAGTGTAATAATGAATAATTCAATATAATATGTAGTTAGAACATTTCATTATAATTAAGCTTGTCTGTTGTGATGTTCTTGTTTAAAAATTTGCTAGTACGCTATTAGTAGTAGCGAAATCTAGGGTATACAAATTAGTTTATAAGTGGTTAATTTATTCGTAAGATTAAGGTTTTTTAACCTTAAAGGTCCCACGTGTTGTCAAAGTATATGTATTTCACTTTTCCTACGTATTAAGATGATTAAGAAAACTTGAGTTAATCTGATGTTTTTTTTAAATAATATTGGGTAATTTTTCAGGAGTTCCGAGAGCAGTACTGTATCAACAACAAACAACTGGATCTGCTGGAATTGGAAAAGTCCAAGAAGGACAGATTCCTCGGATGCCTGTCACAGTACCACATCGAAAGCCCGTGTTCTAGAACCAACCGGTATGTATATTGATCATATATCTGTAGAACATATGTACACGTAAAAGTTCCGAACAACTGCACCAAATTGTTTTTTTTGCCAAGATTGAAATAAGAGAAGCTTAGCATAAAACAATATGTAATCCGAGATTTTTATTTTTTAAAATTCCATATACAGTTCCCAAAACACTGGTTCCTAATAGATAGCTCTTGGGTTTTTTAACTGGGACAATACTTACATGATATCAATAAGTGTTTTAAATATTATTTGTCCAGAAACTGGGTCTTGTTCATTATCATCTTGAATATGAATACAATTACTCATCATCATACAAATCTTCAACATTCAATTTCTATAGTAATTGGTATATATAAATCAGGTCTATATTATATCTGCCAATTAGTGGTCATAATCTTCGATATTCAATTTCTATAGTTACTTCAGATCCTTCATCAATATTATTATATTCGGCATATCTGCCAAACAGGAAAGGTATTAAGTAAAGCTATAGCTTTATATATAGCCTATTATACAGCAAAACATAAACAAATTAGATTTCCATTCCAAATAAATTATTATTTTTATTACAACTGCTAATGTTTTGTGTCGTATGTGTTTTTTTTATTTTTGAAATTAAATAAAACTACATTATTATTATTATTATAGTATGTATATCTTCTTAATATGTATAAATTACGTGTCACGTTGTTTGTCCGCTATAGACTCCTAAACTACCGAACCGATATCAATCAAATTTGCACACCGTGTGTAGTTTGATCCAACTTAAAAGATAGGATAGCTTACATATCAATTTATACCCGCAATATTATTTTATTGCAACATATTTGATAGTCACAATTCTAACAGATGGCGCTGTGTTGAAAGTACCACCGTTTCACATAAGCTACAATTTAATGGCATAACCACCAAAAAAGCATGGCGGTCCCCATGACTGGTGTTCTCCTACTCTCCTACCGTTTACCTTGAATAGTTTGCTACTATGTAATATAACAAAAACCTTAGCCACAGCAACGCTTGGCCGGTCTGCTAGTGTATATATATATAATGTAAAAATACAATCAAATTAGGCTAGTAATAACGCTTTAGCATGAGTGTAGCTTAGCGAATACACACACACTAAATATTAATTCTATTTGGAAGCTGAACTGTAGAAACAACATGAAAATGCATATTTTGTTACAGTTGACTAAATTACATTTTTATTATTTTGATAAACTTAATTCGTATATAGACTTGTGTGTGGCTTGGGTCATTTTTTATTTATAAATTAAAATAATAATTCTTTGTACGGTAATCAAGTCTATAATAATAGGAAATAACTAATTATAAATTGATATAGTAACTGGCCTTATGAGTCTAATATTTTATTATAATTTTGTATAGCTATATACATTGATTATTATTTTGATGTATCTACTTGTTTGGCACGACATTTACACTGATTAAACTCAAACGAAGCAGTCGTAGCAAATTAAGGACATTAATTTGTGTTCCAAAACTGCGTAGAGTTATGTACGTCGTAAATTGCCTAATCAGAGAGATCAAGATTAATTCGTTAAACAAATAATGGATGCTTTGCCATTTACAGCCTTTCCCTAAATATATTTTGACCTATTACCCTTTAGCTCTGAACGTCAATTCGGATTATATATAATAATCTATTTAAACGTTATGACCTGATTTATCTCGGAACCTAAATCATGGGTTTTTTTACATTGGCAGTTGATGCATTTTATTGTGCTATTATAGAGTTAGAACCTTTCTAAGTGTATAATAACACACAGTAGAAATTACTGCGCTTAGACTTAAAATAAAATAAATAGCGGTTTGAAAATACATTGTTTTTAAGTTATGGACGCACGAACTAAAGTACAATATTTTTAGTACCCTGTGATATCTGATATATAAAATTCTCGTGTCACGGTGTTTGTAATGAAACTCCTCCGAAATAGCTCGACAGAATTTCGTGAATTTTTGTGTGCATATCGGTTAGGTCTGCGAACAACATCTATTTTTCATGCCCCTTAATATTAAGGGTGTAAAAATAGACCTAAATTTTTTAGTTTTTTTTAGTTTTAATTTTTTTATGATACAGCATACAAAATTACATACAGCTCTTACTATTCACCCCTCTACGATCAACCTTCATTTTTTATTACACTAGATAGTTATTTTTATTTAAATAAAAAATGTTTCCCAGAAATAATATACATGGCAAAACAATGTTTGCCGGGTCTAGTCTATAATAATAAAAGTTAGGTGGCTAAAATTGTTATTTTAAAAAAAAAATACATTATATGCGATCTATATCAATGTGATGTTGCCAGAATAATTTTTCTCATAGAACACTAGATTTTAAATGAAATTAAATAATTTATTTGGATTATTAACGATTTTATGTTCCTTAAAAAGTCTTCATGAAACCAACCACTTTTGATTATGATTTTTTATTTAACGAATTTAATAACAATATCTTATTGTATTGCTTCTCTATATAAATATCAAACAATGACTAAATTATATAGTCGTCCCAATTAGCTTGTTTTCTTACTATTTGATTACGAGTCCATTTCACCACATCAGTCTCAGCTGTATCGCGCATATCACAAGGATATATTTAATAAGGAAACGCGTTAACTAAAACTGTAATATTCATAGAAAAAAACACACGAATGTTACCTACAAGATCAAATTCATTTCAATTCACGAGTTCCCTGGTGCCCTTTCAAAGCTCTATCCATGCATAACATATAAGCTAACTTACACTTCGGGTTTCGGGTACCGGCAAAAATTATTACCCTCAAGCTGACAACAAATCCAAACCACTGACATATACCAAAAGACATTACATACGTATTTTATAATATATACTATATAAACCAATAGTTATATTAAATTAAATGTATTTTGAACGATAAAATCACTATGAGAAGTTTCTTTTTTATCGATATGACGCGGTAGTCAGTAGTAATAAGTATTATACTGTAACAAGTGAATCAAACATATTCCATTTTCAAATATCTGAAAAATTAATATGAACGTTATCTCGATGACATTCTACTTAATATTACTTAACTTTTATAAAGTAAAGTATCAGATGAGTTAAATTAGGTGAAATAATTTAGTTGACAAAACACATAATAAAAGTGCTTGTTTTCAAGTAAAATATAAAATTCTAAATGTTGTTTCTTAAAATACATATTTCAGCAACACATTTGAGTTTCATTCATCATATATATATAGTTGTGACGAACCTATTTGCTGAAAACTTTCGCCCTAAGCACAATAAATAGTCCATTGTCAACTAGGTACTTTCTATAATACAATACAAAGAAAAGATTTCGAGTCTCACGAGATAACAGTCCTCCAATAAATTATTCATTGCCTTTCAACGAATACTGTTTCATTTTAATCTCAAATGAAAATAAGACTAGCGTAAGTAACAAATAAATTATCTATTCTTTTGTTAATTTAAGTATAATCCAACTTAATTCATTGCTATTTCCGAATTTGTACCAAACATATTCTGGATAAACATATGTGGCAACAATTGTTTTTTTTAATTTAGTTAAATTATAACGCGTCTTTATCACTTTATAATAAAGGTTTTTTTCGAATTTGGAATTATAAAATTCTCTTCATATTTTGCGTAATTTGCAGCAAATAAAGAAATAAGACTGTTAATCGAACATAAGTATAGTTTCATGGCCTTCCAAATCAAGTATGAAAAAAATGATACAGTGCATTAAATATGCCAGAACAATAAACAGATATATTATATGGACTTTAATAAATTAAATTCAACAATTGTCTAATGGATAACAACACTTTACTAATCTAAATATTTTCATATAAAGTTATGATACCATCAGTTTTTGCAACTGTTAAATTCCTTTGTTATATATCTTTCAATTTCGATATTATGTGCACGTCTAATAAAATTTTGTTCTTAAAATATGACGTCATAAGAATTTATGACGTGAAGTACAGTGTTGGCCTAGTGGCTTCAGCGTGCGACTCTCATACCTGAGGTCGTAGGTTCGAGCCCCGGCTGTGCACCAATGGACTTTCTCTCTATGTGCGCATTTTACATTTGCTCGAACGGTGAAGGAAACAATCGTGACGAAACCGACATGTGTTAGACCCAAAAAGTCGACGGCGTGTCACTGGAGGCTGATCACCTACTTGCCTATTAAATTTAAAAATGATCATGAAACAGATTCAGAAATCTGAGGCCAACCTAAAGAGGTTGTAGCGCCACTGATTTATTATTTTTTATTTTTAAGAATTTATGTAATTAATTGTTTATAATCGTCAATTAGAATTAGTTTCACTTCCGCGATCTAAGCGGCTTAACTTAATAAACGTTTCTCGAGAGGCCGCCGTTTACGATAATAAATTGAGTATTTTATTATGCTCCTCCCTAAGTATTAACAGTATTAGTTGCCCTGCCCACGGTGAAAGGACAATTCATTGTATCTTTAGTTCGTAAATGGATCAAATGGAGCTTAGGACGGATATCTAATGATACATAAACTGAGTAAGCAAACATTCGTTGGATGATAATAGGTTTACGAAAAAAAGAATATTTTTCTTTATCCTTCCGGTTGCAAAGAAATTCAATCGTACTATTAATATTGTTCAGTATATTCGGTGAAATAACTTTTAACATATTTTTATATGTAATACTAGCAGACCGGCCAAGCGTTGCTGTGGCTAAGGTTTTTGTTATATTACATAATAGCAAACTATTCAAGGGAAACGGTAGGAGACCACCAGTCATGGGGACCACCATGCTTTTTTGGTGGTTATGCCATTAAATTGTAGCTTATGTGAAACGTGGGTACTTTCAACACAGCGCCATCTGTTAGAATTGTGACTTTCAAATAATAAACAAATATTTTGCAATAAAATAATATTGCGGGTATATATTGAGATGTAAGTTATCCTATCTTTTAAGTTGGATAGAACACGGTGTGCAAATTTGATTGATATCGGTTCGGTAGTTTAGGAGTCCATAGCGGACAAACAACGTGACACGTAATCTATATATATTAAGATATATAGATTTTTACTTAAATAGACACTACCCTGGTGTTTAGCTTCTCGGCCACAGATCTGCCTTATCGCGTGGTCTGTAGGCTATAGGTCGTATAAAAAAAAGTAATTTTTGTATACCAACTGTGTTGATGATGAATGGATAAACATTACTGGTATTTCATTTATTATTGAAGTTATACATCTTTTGGCGCGTTAGGGAAAAATGATGAGAGTAAATTTTTACGATGCGCGCACGCCGTCACGTAAAACTGACACCGGAAGTTAGCATAGTCAACATTTTAATATAAAAAAATTCAATTTCTTTAATTATGTAGAAATATTTTTTTTGTTATATTTAATAAAATAATGCGTTATATTAAACTGTCACTGTATTAAATACCTTTTTTCTAACAATTAGTGTCGTTTTTTGTACTTACGTAGAATAAGGCGAAAGATAAAATTCATAACTACACACCCTTTTATTTTAAGGGTATGGATTCCGGATTTTACACCAGTATATTCGTCATAGATACCTAATATTTAATTAACATTTAATTAACATTTAATTAATATACAGAATAATACAAAAATTATAGAATATTACTTTTGAAAACCATTGTGGTTTATGTTTACACATATATTTTAGGAGAATTGAAAAAGTAATAGAGACCGCTGCCGTTTATATCACAGATAACATATTACATATTATACTTGATATCTCTGTTCTCTAATGTTGTCAAAAATATAACTAGACTAGGCGGTATGGTCAAAAGACTAAAGCCTGCGCCTTGGGCGAAAAGAAAAAAAAACATTCTTACACGCAAAAATTATATGTCGAAGCAATGGCAGCTAACACTAACACCATTGCTTCTACATTAATAATAAAGATTTCACCGATCAATCTCCTTCGTGCCTTCTCCATACATGACACTGGCGAAGTACCTTGTTCCCAGTTGGCACAAATAAAAGCCATTTAAAAAAAATAAAAAATAATAAAGATTATAATATAAATACAAACTATCAAATAGTCTGGTAATTTGTAGATCTATTAATATTGGCCATTGCACCGACGTTAATTGTTATTTAAAATATCAAACTCATATTGGCGTAATATGAAAAATATAAAGCAACCAGGGATTTCGTAGAATTGAAAAACATTTTCCATTACAGAGCGTCATTTCTATCCGTTTGTGTCCGGCGGCGAGTGCCCTCCGATGAGAATCTCAACACCGATTATGCGCCCATACAGCGGTATCCCAGGTAAAACGATTTCCTTTTAAAAATGCAATACTTTTATTCAAATAGAGATTTTTATTTCTAATTTCTTAGTAATACTTTTACATTTACGTCAAAATATGTCTTACGTTTTAGTCGAACTTGTTTCATAATATAATAAAAGTTGTGTACAATGTAAGTGTGTGAATAGAATATTAAGATAAGTGCTGAACTGACCAATAATCAAGATTCTAGAACTTCGTTACAGTTACAATGTATGAATTTTAAAATTATGTCCTTTGCCTTGTATTTCAAAAAGCTAACCCATCCGCGCTCTAATTTAAATAAATGTACCATCCATGTATAATTTTGCGTGGCACAGTAAAATAATAAGCGCGATACTGGTTGTTTCTATGTACTAAGCAATATAAATTTTCATTAATAAAGTGTCGTGTTTGCCAAAAAAGATGTGAGTTGCTGAAACGTGAGACTAAATCTTACTAAGTTTTTATTGGGTTTAATTGGATCAACGCCGTTTAAACCAGTGTTTTCCAACCTTTTATCTGTCCCACCTTTAGAATTCGTATGCCCTCTTCACTTAAGCAACTTAAACAATAGGTTTTAGGAAGAAATTACTAGGAAATTGTTACCGAAACACAGTAAGTAAACTTTAAAACATAAGGAAAAATTCAAATTCAAATTTCAAATAACTTTAATAAATTTTCCAAAGCCTTAAAAAATGAAAATTACAAAATTGACCCCACGTTGGGAAACACTGGTTTAAACCTTATAAAGGATATAAAATCTTCATTAATAAATCGTTAAGTTACACCTCTTTGGCTCAGTTTGAAAAGTTTGTGAACTGATACTGGGTATCAGTCTTGTATTATGTATAAAAAAATTATAATAGGTTCGGCCAACCTGCACCTCCCCCCGGCCGAGGTGTGTGCACATGATGCCGACTTGGAATGCTCATACTTTCGTCGGCGGCCACGCTCCGTGTGCGCACAACCTGACCCCAAACGCTACACCTGGATGCCAGAGGATGAAGACTTCACCCGGATGGAGTGGCCACAGTATATATTTTTATAGCAAATTTCAATTATAGCATTCATCTGTCCTTTTTAGTGTGAACTTCTGAAAAAAGTCTCACGGTGTGAATTCAATTTGACAGAGAGAGACGAACTATTAAAGGCCTTACAGCGTTTGATAACCCAGGGTTACCATTTCAGTGCAATATGCTAGGGCTAGTATTTATCTAAATAAATTCCATCAGTTAAATGAAATGGTTTGAGCCACTTATATCCTACAGCCAGTGAGGAATTTGCAAACATCATAGCTGTCAAGAGAGAACATCGAACTAATTTCACAGTCATATGATAAAAATAAATTAACATATTAAAAATTTATTAGGATTTTGAAGATGAGCCTAAATTGTGTATTAAGAAATCAATGACTACAATATGACTACAATATTATCTGTGGCATAACAAAATCACCTCAAATTCAGATCAGCCCAACTAGCACAGTTCAGCATACACAAATATATATTTGAAAACATATTGAAAACTCCTTCGCTTTCTCGGGCCATTGTCATACGTAATCTATACTTTATGTAGACCTAAAAAAAAGTACTTGAAACTCGGAAAACAAATTTCCCATTTCCCATCATAAAACATCTTAACGACTTTCTAATTAAATTTTCATCTTTTATTTTAATTATAGCCCACATTATTCCGTAACATTAATTAAGCAGAATGTAATTCTGTTAATGAAAAGATCCTAAGTGGCAATTAACAATGGTCCAATATCGAAGAGATCTTTAATAGCTTAATAAAAGACTTTAGATACCACAAATTGTACTTAATGTAAAATACTTTGGAAGTAATTTTTTTCAGTGATATAAAGAAGATATTAAGATTATTTTAGAAGCGTGCGTCTCTCAATCCTGACATGCTAAAATCAATGCCGTGTAACGATGAATTTTTCTTTGTATCTATGCAATTACTTTAGCTGAGATAAACACCGCAAGAAAACCAACAAGTCTTCGACCTAAAAGTCTTTGACACATGTCAAGCACAAGTCTACTACTAAAAAAATCAGTGGCGCTACGAACTCTGGGCCTGTATTCATTTGTTTATTTCTAAAAAGCAAATTGGGTGATCAGCCTTCTCTCCCTGACACACGCCGGTTTTTGTGTCATAACGCCGGTTTCCTCACGATGTTTTCCTTCACCGTTCGAACGAGAGCCATAATCTATTTCTATATACAAAGTGCTAATACTATTTCATACCTTATGCAAGGTATTTATCTAAGCCGATCGAACCCGTTAGTAGATAGCTGAGCTAGGCAAGGCTTCTAAACTCTTCTCTCTCTGTCAAACTATGTTTATGCCGAAATCTCTTAAGTATGTTGGTCTCCATTAGATGCGACCCTCGAGAAAAAAATCATTATTTATTTCTAAAAAATATCCAACATATGCGATAAAAATATAATCAAAACCTTTGTTGAAGCCTAAACAAACAATAAATTGTTCTTTTAGATCGGTAATAGAAGATAACGCGGGTTGGCCGCAAAATTACAGTGTCGATCAAATCGCTTCTGTAAGTCGGGGCGGCTCGCTTCCCAGGCCACCTTCTATTATACCGTAAGTATTTTAATATTTTATATACACCGTGTTATTCTTAAAATTCATTTATTCTTAAAGTATACTCTTAAGCTTTCAATGCTTATACATCGATTAAAAAATAAACTAGCTTATAATAAAATGTTTATCTAAAATCAAAAAATCTTATCCTAATAGCTTAGCGAGCGACTTATCGCACACCGGCAACGAGAGTGTCACAACACCATAAATGTAGTTTTTGGGAAATCACGATAAATTTAGAACTCCATTTATTTTATGCTGGAAAAGCATATCGGAGAACTTATGATATATTTAAGAAGATTATTTAATGCTCTATTAGGTTTTTATGTAAATTAAAATCTAAAGATATTTGTTCTATTTTATATTTATTTTTTACTTTTAAATTCCTCTAATGTGTCACTTTTTCAGAAAAAAATATCAAAATTTTTATTTGTTAATACTTTTTTTATAAGTAAATCAAATAATATTAAACAATATCTTTGTAGGTAGTTATTACCAGTTATATAAGAAACAAGTAAGATATTAAAACTATTCATATAACATCCAAATGGCGTATATTTTGCGATAAAGTTTTTAACGACAAAAATCGCAGGAATTGAAATAGAAATATAAATAATATATAATAAATAATAATACATCGGGAATAGACATCGGGAAATTCAATTTTATTACCGTTTCCACAAATAGATTTTCCTTTGAAGGTTTCTACGGATTTAATTATGAAATGAAAAACATTACTTATGAGAATATTGATAAAGCAAAATGAAAATATTTTATACGTCCTCTTTCCCGTTAATTAAATGTAAACATAATATTTTCGTTTTCGAATAAAATAAGAAAAATATATGTTTAAAATATTAACTTTTTTTTCTTAAACTGATAATAACATAAGATCCTCCTTTGTGCAGTAGTGAGGATTCAGGAAATAGTAATACGCACTAACAAAAGAAATTGTTTTTAAGGAATACAGTATACATTAAACCCAAGGTCGCCTGGAAGACATCGCTTGTTAGCGATAAGGCCGCCCATTGCATCGCTTATAATTTTTAAATATTATGTTGTTTGTTTTTCCATAAATCTAACGAAGTGTGATTAAATAAAAAAACCAACATACCTACTTAACAATTTAATCAACCTGTCAGATGGACAATTTTAAGAAGATTTCAACTCAGTTACGCAAGTTTTTTAAGTCGAATTAATCTTAGTACCTTGTTTAAATTAATTACTACGTGTTAAAACCAAAAATCTGATCTATTACTTTGCAAAAATGCTCAAAGATGACTAATGCAAAACATAAATAAATTTTATTATAAATACTCATCACAATTATAGACTAAAGTAATATTTATTTTGCGTTTATTTGCCGTAGAAACAGGTTAAGCTTATTAATAAAGAAGTCTTTAAAAATAAGAACAAACACCATTTATTCGATTCCAAGAAACTTTGCGTTTGCGAGTTATCAACTACGTTATACCATTTACTGTTAATTTATTACGCGAAGTTGAAAATTAAATCAGATATTCACACTTGATTTATTCGGACTGAATGTATCGTGAAGAATAAAATCGATTAAGCAGACACAAAGACCTTAGCAAAAAATATGTAACATCGAATACCTATTGTAATAGAAAAGTAGCGAATAAACGTCTGGAAAACGTAACAACGGTACGTAGGCGTACCTAAAATTATGATATTGACAATTCACTAGACGTAGGAATTTTTATCCCTTTATCGCTTCTAATACGTGTAATGTTTGTGATAACAATCACGTTGCGTAACAATAATGCATTGTCCTTTGAGCTATAATCCTGTAACTAACTAATGAAGCGTAAGAGCATTGTATCGAACCATATTGTATTCCTAATACTACATCATTAGCATACAGACTCTTGATTTATAGGACAGGCTACTTGAGAAGCCGAGTTCCGTGAGAGATTCTACCGTCTTGTTTGTTTGTTATTTAAACAAAGTGTAATGTTAATAGCACCAATGCTACAATAATTCCGAATATGTAATCGGGGATATGCATTTGTTTTTCGACAATAATTTTCCTTTCAACGCAAATAGCCTAGTAACATACCGTATCAATTACTTATTATATCTTCACCGAGTTATATGAAAAACTCATACAAAAGAAGGCACAATGTTTCTCTATCGGTATAATACCTATCTAGTAGTGTAGTGGCTAGTGGCGATAAAAATGTATAACTAGCTTGGTACTTTTATTGGAATTTCCACATAAGATATGAAACAAACTATTAATCGTAGATGCTTTACCAACTTAGAGAGCTTCATTACAAACATAACGCCGAATTTAGGCTATGAAAACAAATCGATCAATTCATCAATGTCCTTTACGATGTTGCCAATCGAATCGAATCAAAGCTAATGATGCGTCCATTACCCATACATAATAGCGGCCTTCACACGTACAGTTCGAACCGTATGAAACAGCCCGCGCCATTCCGATCTGTCGTCCAATCCGTCCGTGTAGACGTGACAAGCGCGTGGTGGTTTGATATTTCGATGCGGCGCATTGGTGTGTGCGAACGTTTGTACAGTTTTATGCGGGTGCCTCGTGTGGATGACAATTATTTCAAAATGGCAGTTTGGAGCGTGGAAGCAGTGACAGGTTTTATAAGGATATATCGGGATATCTTAATGTTGCGGAAAGACGTTCTTCTGGTGTTATGCATTTTCTCATAACTGTATCTTGCTTAGTAATTCTGCGACGGATAAGTTCCAATAAGTAATCAAAATTATCGCCGTCCATCCGTAGGTAATTTTTAAAATCTTCTGGATAGTTTTCTCGTATTTCTTTTAACATGGGTAAATATCCAAATTTTCGTCTATATTTCTTAACCCATACACGTCTCCTTTTTAGATTATTAAAACCAACCACAAAACCAGCTAACGCGATCACTAGAAGTGTATCCATTTCTACTGTACCGGTTAAAACTGAAAGAAAACTTTTAAAATTGGTCGACATTCCACGCGCCATTCCATACTGCACCAATCTGCAGATAAATCTGTGCAGACTAGACCGCGCGCTGATCTGTGCTTCTACTTTACGCTTCAATTGTAATAACAGTTTGAACTGCGGTTCAAGCTGTCTATTTCGCTTTCCTGCAGATAAAACTGTACGTATAAATGCTTTTCGAGAGTTTAGATCGCAGTATGGAATGGCGCGTGGAATGTCGACCAGTTTTAAAAGTTTTCTTTCAGTTTTAACCGGTACAGTAGAAATGGATACACGTCTAGTGATCGCGTTAGCTGGTTTTGTGGTTGGTTTTAATAATCTAAAAAGGAGACGTGTATGGGTTAAGAAATATAGACGAAAATTTGGACATTTACCCATGTTAAAAGAAATACGAGAAAACTATCCAGAAGATTTTAAAAATTACCTAAGGATGGACGGCGATAATTTTGATTGCTTATTGGAACTTATCCGTCACAGAATTACTAAGCAAGATACAGTTATGAGAAAATGCATAACACCAGAAGAACGTCTTTCCGCAACATTAAGATATCTGGCAACTGGACGTTCATTTGAAGATTTAAATTACGGTTTGTATAAGCCGACTTATTTTTAACTTGCCATAAACATGGATGTTGCCGATATATCCTTATAAAACCTGTCACTGCTTCCACGCTCCAAACTGCCATTTTGAAATAATTGTCATCCACACGAGGTACCCGCATAATACTGTACAAACGTTCGTACACACCAATGTGCCGCATCGAACTGTCAAACCACCACGCGTTTGTCGCGTCTACACGGACGGATTGGACGGCAGATCAGAATGGCGCGGGCTGTTTCCTACGGTTCGAACTGTACGTGTGAAGGCCGCTATTCTATTCACAATACATAATGAGCATGTATCATTACAGCTTCGAACTGCGAACAGCAGTGCTATTGTGTAGAACCGATATTGCCTAAATGGGCTCTTTGTGCATCAAAGTGCCGACACCTAACGATAAAACTTTTTTTTTATGTTGTAAGGCAAACGGACTGGAGGATCACCTGATGTTAAGTAATACCGCCCATGTACACTCACATTGCCAGAAGGCTCGCAAGTGCGTTGCCGGCCTTTTAAGAATTGGTACCGTCTTTTCTTGAAAGACCCTAAGTCGAATTACTAGGTATATATGTTACAGTTAACACTAGTTTTTAGTTAAAACTCGTTTTCCCTAGTTAAAAATAGTTTTTACTAAATGCCTTTGTCAAAACTAGAAATAATAAGTGAAAACTAGAATTTACCACTGATATAATTCATTTTCTGATAAAAGTAGTTGTCACTCCGAGCTTTAGTTACAACTAGCACTAGAGAAACTAATTTGAATTTTGGGATTGAAAACAAGATAAAGTTTTAAAAATATTTATTAAAAAGATCTAGGGTATAGAAACATAGTACCGTACCTAGTAAAAAAAACTTACACTAAAGGAACATTTTAGGGAACATCAGCATAAAGTAGTTGCCAAGGTGACAACATTAATTAAAAGTAAATAAAATAATCAAACAAATCAACAGAATACAACCATAAAATTTAAAAAAGGAACATTATAATAATATTTTTAAGGGATATTGGTAAACATACAATAAAAAAATAATCAAACAACCTTAAAATTAAAAAAGATGACGATCTACTTGTTATTGCAAGACAAACTATCGTGGCATTTTGAATTACAAAGGTAGCCATTTTTCTTGCAGAGACACCTTTTTGACATACATCCTTTCTTGCATACGCAGCGCATAAATCCCTGGCCTGTTCCTATGGATGCTTCCTTAGCAACAGTTCTCAAAGGTAAATTTGTATTCGGAACGTCTTCTTCATGCAAAAATTTTTCTTTGCACTTGTCGAATTCTGACCTGAAAAGCAATATTTAAATAGTTAGCTTTTACCTAAAGGCAATATAATTATATGATAAAACAATTAAGCAACACATATGTACCTACATACCTGCAATATAATTTGTCGAGCATTCCATATTTCGTTCCAATCTTGTGAAAACCCTGATCATCCTTTTGAAGAACCACTCCGACTATATTACGTAGATTTGCTTTTGCTCTGTCGACATCTGGGATTTGTATAATTACATTATCACCGATTTCTACAGGAACGTGTATTGCATCTGAAGCTAATGTCATTCTCTTGGCCTGTTTTTTTAAGTTTTGATGTGCAGTTTCTCTGGATGCCGTTATGTGTTGATTCACATTTGTTACAACTTCGAGGTCATTGTCATTTGGTGGTATTATTAGAGGCTCTACAGCCGTAGATGCTCCAGCTTCAATATCATATTGACTGGCTTCTAGTTCGATTGGCGATTCTCCACTTGTTTTGGATGAACTTTCTGCGTCTTTTTGTTTGGCTCCAGTTATAATCTGATGCTCTCCACTGCAACTAGCTACAGGCTCAGTTTCTGCATTATCTGTACTATTATTTAACGCATTTTCTAGATCATCTTCATCTCTTATATCCTCAATAACATCTCGTGGCGAAGTCATAAGCCCTACTCGCGGTTCTATACCAAACATTGCTTTGTATGGTGATTGTTTAATACCAGAATGAAGCGCCCGATTTTTCATAAACTGTACAAACCGAATACCATTTGACCAATTTGTAGTATCGTTATCTTGCATCCATGAAGCTAACATTTTCTCTATGTCTTGATTAGCCCTTTCAACAGATCCTTGGCTTTGGCTGTGCCTTGGCTTTCCATGGACTAATTTACACTCGGGCCAAAATGAAACGAGCTCATTTATAACAGAGTTTACAAATTCTCTCCCGTTATCGGAGTGAATCAGGTGATGTCTCGCGACCAATCAGAATAAAGTAGCCTTGGTCGGAACAGTTTTAACTGACTAACTTCGAAAAAACGCGTTAGTAATAACAAGTTTTAACTGATATTCAATTGTGAGCATTAGTTAATTCTAGTTTTAACAAAGGCGTTTAGTAAAAACGCGTTCTAACTAGGAATAACGCGTTCTATCTAAAAACCGGTTTTAACTGTAACATATATATTACTTCCAATAAAAAAAAACAACGGGAGCACTCCGGGAGTGCCGGCAGAAGTGAAAACTTCAATATTAACGTTGTGTTTAATTATAAGTATAAAAGTACTATCATTTATGAGGTAGAATACAATGTTTATTTATTGCGCTATCGTACACAAATATGACAATTTATATGTTGTTATTTATAATATTATATCGTTATTTATATATTACATTAAATTTTATCTCTCAGAAAAATCAACTTCCATCCATAATTTCGACGACTTTTACACCATCGTTATTATCAGAATCATCATCGCAAATTTTTACAACTGATACAATTGGTTTATGATAACTGAAGTAAGAAACAAACTGTTTTGATTCGAACCTATTTAAGTGTCTAATAAAGACCGTACTCATTTGCTTTCACTACTTCATCATCACTTTTTTCATTAATAGATTCACTTTGTTCGATTTCCATAATTTAAACAATTCACATTTACGAATACACAACAGTGTATTTACTACACAACAGTCAAGCAATCAGCTGTCACCATCCTTGGATACGCGTGGGACGCTGTACATAAACACACACGGTCATTCGCGCAAGCGCCCTGTGCCGCCTAAACAGAGCAGCACACTCAGGCACGGTAGAAAGAGTGGGAGATACTAGTTCCTCTCCCTTCCCCTCGATCTTACGCTTTTTCGATCAGCATCACGTGACCCTGACGCAAGTTTGAAAGTTTTTACCCATACAAAAAGTGCTCAGCGCCGCTAAAGAAGTTTTCACTTCAAAAAAATAATTACGTCTTTATTTTTTTTTCTTTTATTTGTCTAGGTTACATAGAATAAGGAATCACCATTGACAAATCAAGCATAATATTAAAACCTAGACCTATCAAGTTACCATTTTGTACCGATCGCAAAGCTTTTAGAGCTTAAAGCGCACAGTATTAAGGATTATTGCAATGTTCCAGCTGTCCCGCCCACACACCAATACCACCGCCTCCCCCGCCACCACCACTCACCATACCACCGCACAGGTAACGTATCTCATCTGCCACTATCATTAGATCACATAGATTATTACAGGGCCTTTGGGTAAACTGCATGAGCCATTAAAGAGAACGTGTTGTATCGCATATACTAATAGACAAATGTCATTTGTATATAATAATGTAAACAAAAATTCAACAGAATGTAGGATTTATCTTGACATCTCATGTCTGCCTGTCAGCTGTGATTTTAGTGGTGGCAAATGACATAATTTAGTTGCACTATGAGAAGCAGAACTTAGTGTTTTACTCAATAATTTTAACTTTAAATAGTTTCTTTTTCAAATATCTCTGAATTCTCTACAAGTACAAAATAAAAAAAGAAAGTCATGAAAGGTTCTTTTTTGATGTATGTAAGTACATTTGACTTTTTTTTAACCAGCTCTATAGACACACGATAGCGCTTCAAGCTTCAAGCTTACATAGTAGCTATTCAAGCTTAGTAGAAATAATGTAGAAATATGATTATAAGAATGTAATGTGAATTCTCGAGGCTTAATACTTAGTCTCCCTTATGTCAAAACGTTGACATGACTATTGACTAAGGAACTTCATCTACTTCTGAAGTATGTATACAATTTAATATAAATAAATGAAACATGTTATATGATGTCTTTGTAAGACCAATTTTATTTTTGTTTGTTTTTATTTTGGTACTTATCATGCTTCATCAATCACCATACCTTTTTTTCGTGACCATTCAAACACTCTGAACTACCAACTAAACTCTCAGCCGCATATTTTATAATAAGAACAATCTTCAAAGAATATCTTCCTGTATTGCGATCTATTATTATTACAGGACAAAACATGTATCCTTCGCTCGCTCGCACACCCTGACGACCTTCGACGACTCAGTGATGCCCGCAGCCGTTAGCGGAAACCGCTACCGGAACTGCGAGAGGCTGATCGATGGACGTGTTGTTAGGGTTCGTAAACAAACTATAAATAATTTTTCATGGGACATTTAGTACCATAAGTATTGTTTATTATACCTTCTTATCTTAGACAGAAAAAATGGGTTTCGATAAGCGTCTTTCTGTATAACTAAAAATAAAAGTATTAACTTCGTAGACATTTTCAAAATCGACAGGCGTAAATATACAATATAGTATATTATACTCTGATTTTTAATTCCGTAGAATTCTGTCAGCTATAATTTTTGACATGTCGGAGATAACTAACCATTTTGGCCGGGCACATTTTTTCAATTTCAATACGAGTCTGAACATCTGACTCTATACAAACATGTTATTGAATATATCCATTTTATTAAGTGTGGTGCTAAACATTAAAAGTGGTTTTACGGCGACTGATAATTACGCCTTTTCATCACAGACAGGCAGGTGAGCCTCTTGCCCGTCTGCCTCCTGTAACATAAAAAAAACAGGTAATGATGACATTTTTTTTTTGTAAGGTTTACTTAACCTGGAATTGGTAGGCAGTGATGCTAGCTAAAGAATAAAATAAAATAATTAAAGTTATTTCGATATATTCTTCGTGATATTGCAATATTTGTTATTTTTGTATTAGATCACTTGAGCAAGTAAATATTATTTATTTTTAATTATTATTATATTTACCTTTTTGTAGGTAAAAAAAATACGGAGCATTTTATTTTATTGCCCTCAAATAAGGAGGTGGAGAACTTCTTTAGTAGCAACATTTATAAAATCTCAGAATTCTACGGAATTAAAAATCAGAGTATAGTTAATCAATATTGTACTGATTACGAAATACGTAGACACCTAGTGAAATTTGTTAGTTTGTTAAGATATTTATAAAAATAATAATCGGTTTACTATAATTATGATCTTATCAAGAACACAAACTAATTGAGAAGAAACTATACGCTGTTGTTGAATTACTTCGTACATTATTTGATTTATCAATATTGCACATTATTAAAGCTCGTTCTAAATGTTAAGTTCTCTTACGTATAGAACGTAACATACGTAACAATTAAATTTTATATACTTGCATACTTGCTATATTATATTCAGCTTATTTGCAGTGTGTTTTTGTGTGTGTAGTTGGTACAATTACAGGTAAATTAGCTTGGAGAAATTTTTGCGTTTGTAGTAGTGTATGGTCAGCTAAAAAAAAAAAACAACATTTTATTTTTAGTTTTTATTTTTTTAAAGGTAATATACGTTTGTGGCTGGAGCACACCAAATGCGTACACGTCTACGCATACGCACTACGTACTAATACGGACGTGAAAATGTGTATCCACTGCATTGTAATCTATGGAACTGTATGAGGCAGATAAGCCAGTTCCAAATATTACAAGCAGTGAATGCCGGTTTTCACTTCAGTGAAGACGTGTATGAATTAGGTGTTCTCCGGCCATAAATGTTTTATTCTAATAATTCATCAACCCCAGGCATATCACAATCATCCCCATCCTCGCTTTCATCAGATGAATTATTTAAATTAATTATGATTCGTTCTGATATTGTGTCTAAAGCTGCGTCTCTACCCTGATATTTGTTTTCCTCCTCAATAGCATGCAGACAAACTTTTCTCCATTCCTCTACAGTTATGGCGTTCATTTTTTCTTCAGCTAATGACATTATAACCTTCATATTCATTGCGACATTCTTTTTTGCGACATATGTTTTCACTATCCCCCATATATTTTCTATAGGATTAAACTCCGGATGGTATGGTGGTAAACGCAGCACAGTATGACCGTGCTGTCGTAATATTTCGTCTATCTTGTACTCTACAAATCTCGCCTTGTTTTGCAGAATCAGTTCATATAATTGAGGCTTAAGCAACGTGGATGAATGCTCAATGTTTCGCAATGTCAGCCAGTCAATCATTTGCTGTTTTCTAGAATTACTATTCGGTGCAGGATTTTGTATTGAGTTATGATATGGTGCGTTGTCAACAACAACAACACTATTTGGTTGTAAGTTGGGTATTAATTGAGTTTGAATCCACCTTGAATAGTTGTCATAGTTCATATTGTCGTGGTAATCTCCACTTTTTTGGTTGGCTTTAAACATAAGCAATGCATTTGGTATAAAGCCATCCATACCACCGGCATGAACAATGATTAAGCGGTTGCCTTTCGATATATGTTGCTTCAAACCTGAAGTGCTTCCATCTGACCAAGATTTCGAGAGGGTATGTGATGTATGTATATATGTTTCGTCGGTGTAAACAATTGGTCGGCGTTGTTCACGATATTCAGCAATTTTCATCAAATAATTAATTCGCAAGTATCTAATTTCGTGTTTTTCCATAAGAAGTTTCCGGTTATCTTCTGTTTGCTTCCAATTAAAACCTAATGACATGACGTGTTTTCGTAACGTGCTGACACAACCTTTATAATCGATATCTTCTTTTAATTTTGCGTGCAAAGTTTTCAAAGTGGGAATTTCTTTATTTGTGATGTGGAAGTCATGAATTGTTCTTCTGATAACTTGCTGATCAAAGTTATCGATTACTATTGTAGGTTTACGATTCGGTTTCTTTTTAGGAGATTTAAATGTTACTTCCTGATCTGAAGGTCGACATTTGCTTTCTGATACTACCTTTCTGACGGATGCTATTGAAATTCCCGTTGATTTAGCAACTAATTGAGTGGGAGTCATAATACTGCTCGGGTTGTTATTACACTCATTTTCGAAATATTTGTACAAACAGTACAAAACTTCTTTAGTTTGAGAAGTCAAAGGCTTGCCTCGACCATGTTTTAACACTGGAGCCATTTTTAATTAACAATATAAAGTTGCAACACTTACACACAAATTAAACACTTCAACAAATATTATAACAATAATAACAAACAATAACAACAATCAACAAATACAAAATTTAACAATTAACGTAATAATTATAATTTTTGAATGAAATGTGTGCTTTATGTTCTAACAGTACCAAGCGACTGACGCCGGACTGCACGTGGCACCTGCGGACAGCGTAAACTGGTTTATTCTGGTTTTGTGCGTGTTTCCACTTTCCACTATCAAGTGACGATTTTTTGCTTTAGATTGAAATATCTCGGAAACGGTGCGTCCTAGGCCAAAAATAAATTTTGACCCCCCGTAGACCCCCCGGAGTTTTAAAAACCTAGATGAAAGGAAAAAAAATATATATCGGTCTCTCCTCTTTGAAGTTTCACTTCTATCGTGTGTGAATCGCGCACACACCTTTTTTTATAAAGTCAAAACCTTTTTTTTAAATAAAAACTTGTTTTTATTGATAACAAAAATCAGAGTGTTGCTAGGGATAAGTATAATATTAAATAGTAATGTTAGGATATCGAAACATTTTTGTATAGGCCAGAACGATATAGTGGAAACGCGCTCTAAGATCTGAGTAATATACACACCACTACATATGCAAAAATTTCTCGAGACTAATTTCAATGTACAGAAATCTTTAAAATTACAGCCTGATAACAAAGCATACGCGACGCTGCCAATAATGTTCCAGCCATTCGCTCCCTACCCGCAATTTGTTGCGCCTGCTCCGGTGCATTACCCTCCAATCGCACCAATGTCTGCCCCTATTCCTGCCACTTCACTGCCGAGACCGACACAGACTGAACCCGCCAAAGTACTAGTCTTAGGTAAGTGTTCTCGTTTTATCCAAGATGCGCAAATTTAAAAAACAAGAATATCATACCATAAATCTTTACATATTATAAGTACAGGTTTTCACTTATACCCGATTTCAGACACATTAAAGAAAGGAGTTATGAGAACACAAGCAACACAAACTGAAGCAAGTTTGGGAAAGAAAACAACAAATTATTTGTCTCTCAGTCCAAGAACAATTAAAAGGGTGCGTATTATACTTTCTATTAAACAAAAATATTATATTACTAAGTCTTAAAAACCAAGATTAAAAAAAAGTGTTTTTTTTTAAATAACGCTCAAAATAAATAGTTTATTTTGATTTTGCCAAATGAAAATCCTATTACAATTCAAAACAGAAATCGTAATTATTGTTAGCTAAGATTTTTCATACAAAATATGGCGCTTGTCTTATTAAGATTATCTCAGGATGTTGGAAATAAAACCCACTCAAAAATTTAATTAATTTACAGTTTTTATTTATAGGGTAAAATAAAGTGGTAAACAAAAGTTCAAAAGTTCAAGAAGACAAATCTGAAATTCGTGATAACTCGCTAATATTATTATTAATACGTTTCAGGTCAAAATGGTTGCAGCTGGTGTACAAACAAATGGTATCACAGTAGGTGCTCGAAGATTGACAAAATCATTTTCTGAGGTTGGAGGTGATCGGCTGACGGGCGCTCACGATGAAGTTGCTGCTGCTATAGAAAGGTATATTTTGCTTCTTCTACATAGGTTCTTCTTTATCGTTGCGTACTCTGCGGTCAAGATATATTTTTTCCTAAACATATAGGTACATACTTCATGGAAACGAAAAATATATCGTAGTAAAAGAATATGAATAAAATGTAATTTGAAGAATAACATATGTACTAATATTACTTTAAGTTCCATTCAGCTTAAGGTCATTGTGTGTTAGGAATCGTATTTTTAACGATCTAGTCAAAACATTAGATAAATTAACCGACAATCCAAAACTGAAATACATTTATTTTTTATTTTTAGTATCATTTACTATTTTAAATATTTCAGTATTATCGCGGGCGAGCATGAAAAACTACACAGAACACAATCAGAGGAACCACCTCGTTCCCCTCATTCACCCACACCTATATCACCATTACAAAGAGGCGACTCGGATGACGTCACATCATGCTCCATCAAATCCGTAGCTTCCTCTCAAATAGACAAATCCTCAGAACTTAGTGCACTCCAGAAACAAGCCCAAGAATATTTCCAACAAAACTTCCAATTTATTCACGAGAGCGATAGAGATGACACTATTGATGATGACATCGAAAACATAGAAAAAAGTATGGCGTTAAACAGACGGAATTTAGAATATTTACAACAAGAGATTGCTAAACAGGCGAAAATCGATAAATCATTAAGATCGATATTATCAAAGAGCACAAGTGACGCTTCGCAAAAGACCACAAATTCCCATCCATTATCTAAGACATCGACATTTCAATCAGAACCATCCACTGAGACATCAGTGACGACTACTGACGATAGTGAGAAAAATGAAAAGGAAATTATCATTGATTTTGAGCCAAGGCCTGATGATGAAGCCATTCCTTTCACAACACTTCGAAGGAAAAGCAAGAGAATTCTCCAAAAAACTTTGTCGGAAGGAGAAATTTTGCTAGATGCGTGAGTATCTTTAGTATGTTGTACTAGAAAACAATTACCAACTTTTTGAATTTGAGTTTCTGTTTTAATAAATTATTCTATATTTTCCCTTAGGATTGCGTGTCCTGCTTCTTGGTACCAGTTTTTCTTACATATTCTTCCACTTATACTTTATATGATGAATAAATATTATTTGCTTCCCTTACTGGATTTTTAAAATTAACAATAATTGTAAACTTAAATTTATCTTTGGAATGGCACTTGTATATTTCTCCTTGATTTTACAAGACATTTCATCTTTTTTTCGGTGAAATGGGTAAAAAAAGTGTAGGAAAGAATAAAAATCTATGAAAATTACAAAAATAATGTTTTGATACATACAAGAAAACTATGTTTTTTCAGGCGAAAAAATGAAATTTCATGTAGCGATGGTGGAAAGGATGCACCAATAATTATGTCCACAAGTCAAGAAAATATGACTAGAGAAGATCGAGAAAGAGAAGCTACATATAAACAGTACATTACTCAAAATTATGACGAAACACCAATTAAGGATGAAGGCATCTTTCCATTTGAACCCGATGGATCCTTTAGGTATGGCTAATATTGTTTATGACGTCTCAATGCACAAAACGCACGTAATTTTACTTGAAATCACGAATAATTTTTTTCACGGAATAGATAAATGTAGGCAAGTGTACCGCAAGCACAAAGCGTGATTATGATAATTCAAAGTTTTCAATGCGAGTGAAATTGTAATAGCTACTGGCTAGCTATGACACTGGTTCTAGTACAAAACTCGATCAAATTCCAACCTTATTTATCTTTTCTGTGATTAATTCCAAGCTTTAAGTTCTTGAGCCGTAAAAGGATTATCAAAAATTACTTAAGAACAATCTTCTTTTAAACTGTTTTAAATATTAGTATTATTAATCCAGGACTTGGTAGCGCAAGCTTTTATCTCTATAGACATTACTTTTCTCGTGTATCCCTTCACGGCTTACAATATCGAGCATGGAATAACAATAAAGGATATGAAGTTACTATTCGGCTTTAGTATAAGCATAGCCATCTCTTTCGATCTATAAAATTAATGCTTGCCTAATTCACGTTTCATTCATGTAATTCTCTTCTTAGTTCTTCAGAAGGCAATGCTCCATATGAAGACTTTCATGAAAAATATATTAGTTACAAGCATGATTCATTTAGAATTCGGAGCGTTAGCTTTGAAGATAAAACAGAAAGTATTGACCGAGAGGATAATCTCCAAGACAGGTTGGTGTTTAATGCTAGCTTTATTTGGCTTATTGAAGCTTGCTTATAGCTTGGTTTAACTTTTACATTTCAACTGAGTGTATATTTAATACCATCTGGAGATGAAGAATGTGAGGATAGAACATTTTTCTTAAAAAAAAAATAACACTGGCTAAAATATTTTTAAAGGAACATTTTATTAAAATAATTTCATTGTTTTTCATTAAAATAGATGCCATATGGGACTTTATTTTGTCAATTGGATAATCATATTTAAAAATGACTTATTTATTTAGTTTTTTTAAATTCAGTTTTATGAAAGATGAGTTTGCTAAATAAAGTAGACGCATTCCCTACAGATCGTATTAAATTCAAACTATATAAGGTAAAAAAGTTTGATTAAGAAAAGTATTACGAATTGTCGATAGAGATTAAATTATGATCTTTATTTTTTTCCAAAAACACCTTACATGTAAATTTGTTACTCAGCATTTTATCTTTAACACGTGAAATTTCAGTACAGCGAAATCGAGTCCTACTTCACCGGAAGTAGAAAAACAAGAGATAGATGAAGAAGAAAAAGAGAAAAAGATCCCGTCAGCGAATAGTCTAACTAAAATTCTTGCACCGTTAGAAAAAAAATCACCCTCAGCATCCAATGAATCGCTGACTGTCGATCATAGCAGGTAATAATATTATTAAACCTCATAGAAATAAGGAGATGAAACAAGAACAGATATATTTCTGTATTTGCATTAATAATAATTGCAAGGGTAAAATAAGTGGACCTTGCGATAATGGATCATTTTCTAGTAAATACTTCTTAGATTTTTGTTTGTTGCTGTTTCGCATTTTTACATTTCTCCTTATCATCAAAATGTTGTTTCATAATTACAGAGACCACTCTGACGGGTTATGGAACGAATCTCAAACGACTATATTGCAAATAGACTCTGGGACAGAAAACGGAACAGTCATCAGGTCTGTATAAAAATGATTCTAAGTAGTATAGTAGCTTTTTTTATTTCAATATAACAATATTACACAAAATAACAATTGAGGTAATACAATAATGCTGCAGCGACCTCAAATCCCGCGACGGGTCTCTTTTCGCGCAAACCCAAACTGAAAGGTACCTACTATTACGTTAAAAAAATGTTTTTACTTTATGCCCATGTGAACATAGTGGCCTAGGCAAATATTTGTACTAAAGTCTAGTCTAGCCCATGAAATATTTTATTTTCTTTATATTTATATTAATCTAAATGTATGTTGAATGAATCAAATTTTATTGTTAATTGCAGTTCGTCCGACCTTAGCTCATTGGCCGCTTCTCCTGGAGCATTAGCATTATTAACACCAACATCACGAAGAAAACAACTGCTTTTATTACAGCATCAACAAAGATCCTCGTTAGATACTGATGCCTTGGATGAAGAATTTGATGCTTCCCAAGTAAGATCGCCACTGTGTTGGTCTACCTGGCTTAGGCACAATACGTATAATATACTCAATAACTGACAAAGCAATAATCGATTTGAGATAAAGGAAAGCTTACGGAGAAATATAATTAGTTAATATCAATATCATATTGATTTAATATCGATTTTGTTGCTCCATCTATAATAGTGCATAGACCGAAGCCAGAGTAGATACGTACTATTTTTAAGTAAAGCGTTAACCTCTTACTTTTTTCAGAGTCAATCACCAACCTCTCCAAGAAATAAATTGGATACATCAGGTTCAAGCTCCATTCAACACAGACCATCTCTATCACCTCCGGCCGTAGTGCCAAACATTCCATTGCCCATGTTGCCTATTACAAAACAACCAATATCAAAAACATCTCCAATACAACACTCAAAGGCAAATCATACTCCTGCCATTGCAATCACTCATCCAAGCTTAGACCTCAGCGACGTCCCGTTTAAGCGTACCCCAAGTTTAATTAACAAGAAGCGAGAGCGGGCACTTAGTCCTTCTAGAAGACAGGAATTACAGAGAAAATCCCAGCAAAAGGAACCAAACGGTACAATACCTAACTATACCGTACAGTCACCACCAGAACCCGTTTTAGCGAAAACTGGGAGTAGTGAGACTAGTCTCGCCAGAACAGACTCGGGAAAGGTTAATACAGATGTTTCAGAGAGTACAACTACAGAAGACTATGTAACAGCGAACTCGGATAGCTCTAAGAGAAGCAATAGTAAAAATCAAAATAACAGTAAGTATCGCTATATTGATCGATAAAATCTCTTACAATACTTCAGACGATTTCATTTTTAATGGATAGTATGATAATATAATGTATGCTACATTTATTAAATCATATACATATCTTGACACTTCGCACAACAGCAGTGGATGGCAAGACCTTGTTTTTCGTATATATGTAGGTTTCAATAAAGAAAATTTTCTAACCAATACCTATTCATAGACGTTAACTTCGTAAATGTGTGCATCATATTTATAAATAACATTAACAGTAATATAATATTTTTATAATATATAGTAACTAAAATTAAAATAATAATACATCGCATACACAAAGCATGCAGTATGAATTACTAGGAAGTACTTTGTTTTGTATTTCATACTCTCTACATATTATATTAACTTAATTTTTATTAATATTACAGGTTCAGAAAACAATAATAAGGCCCAAGAGGGGTCATCATTTGAGAGCGCATCTAGTTTGTATTCGTCTACTAAAACTGATAATATAACAGAAGATTTAATTCTGCCAAGTTTTTCACCGCCCTTAGAGATAAGCGATGATTTTATTGTACCTAATTTAACTTCACCACCACAATTACCAGATAAGAAATATAAGCCTTCGGTAGAAAGAATTGAAGTTAAGGCTGAAATCAATCAATGTGTAGACTATATAAGGAAAAATAAGACTGAACTTATTAAAATTAAAGAAGAACTTGCAGCGAAGACGGTATATTTTTATTTATTACTTATAGTAATCCAGCATTGTGGCTTTTATGGGTTATAAAAAAATATTATACAAATATGTCTGAATGTAAAACCGGAATAAAAGTTTGTTCTTTTCCTTTTTAGGTTTCTTTAAAACGAGAGACAGGAAGTCTGAAAAGTAGTTCAAGTGGCAGTTATAGCATAGGTGGATCAAGTTCAAACTTATTAGAAAGTGTAATTGATAAAACAATCGGTGAAAAAATGAAAGATTTACCTGAGAAACCTGAACCTGAAGTCGTCAAAGTAAAAAAGGAAAAAATCAAAGGAAAAGAACAGTTTGTTCCCAAAAATATGGTAACATTTCTTCGTACTGAATATATTAAAATGTATTGATATGGAATCTAATATTTTTTTAAATATTTACAGGGATCTTTATCAGACGATGAACGAAGTGTTCATTATTCGTCGTCTGGATATTATGAAAGTCCAATAGAGGATGACGATGACGGTGGATTAAGTACGATACATTTTACTTAAATATGATATTTTAAACGTATTTTTTTATGTAAATAAAAAGTGTTTATTCCAGCTTATAAACACTCGCAAAAATACAGATCAACATGTCGTCCAAGGCTTTGGCTATCAGAGGAAAAACGAAGAAAAAAGAAAGCCTTCACTTTAGAATTTTCAAAATCATACGATGACTCTATTTCTACATCTCGAGATGACTGGGGGAAAAAAGAAAAAGAAACCTCTTCAATCCGATACGAACGAAGCGCATTAAAGTCTGCAATGTCAAAATCACCTTTAGAAGAAAAGCAAGAAACCCGCAAAAAGAAAACACATTTCGTGGAGAAGACAAAGAGTTTGCAATCATCGCCTAGAGAAACAATAGACGTCGAAAAATCTTTAAAAGAAAAAATGCAAAAAGAAAAGGATTCAGATAGAAGGCCCGTAGAAAGAGAAAGATACGTTAAAAGGACAAAGTTAAAAGCAAAGAGTCCTACACAAAGTAGAACTGTTGATGTCAGTTATAGGGGAACGCAATATGAAAGAAGAGAAGCAATTGGGTCTAATATGAAACTGCATTTAAATATTCCTACTTCTGATGATTCCAGTGAGCAGTACAAGAAAAATGGTATGCGTGGTTGAATTTATATACTAAATTTTATATTCATCCGCACAGTCGCACAGTCTTTCAGGGTGTAAATTAAATACTTACATGTCGCTGGTAATTTTGCTAACCCACCTTACCTTACCTTAAACTACTAACAAAAATTTATTTCTCCTCAAAAAGTAAAAACAACTTACATTTATCTCAGTCTCAGTCCTGGAGTTCGTTACCTCTTGCTGGAATAACTAATAATAAGTCATTTTTTACCAGAAGCTGGTGCTTTAATTTTACTGATATGTATTGCAGGCGCAAGTAATGGGAATATATCTCCCAGAAAACACAGACGCTTACGAGATAGTCCAAGAAGGAAGACTGGATCCAATTCAACCACAAAATCTCCTACTTCGAATAACAACCACTGCGGTTACTCGTAAGCTTTTCACTCACTTAGATTTATTTTAAGAATAGGTTTGATGAGTAAATAAAATACATGTTTTGCTTTCTTCTTCATCTCTAGCTTCTACAAATTAATTTAATGGGGCGTGGGCAAAAGGGTTATTGAGAAGGAAGCCCTAACTGTCTGTCGTCTTGCCTAAATCGGTAGCTGTACCCACACGTACACTCGCAATACAATCTATTAGTCTAATTCATTTCTATTTCGTTTAGTTCAAGACCTAGAAGAAAAAGCGGGTCAAACGAAAGCATATCACTCCCCGGAAGTTTGCCTAGAAGGAAACAGTCCATACCAACATTGCCTTGTATGAGTTCTTTGGAAGCGGAAGATATTGAAACTGTTCGTGCTCTTAATGATGGATCAAGATTGACACCGTTAAGATATGTCAAAAGCCCAACATCGCAGCATCGTAAGCAGGAGAATGGTTTGTAGATTGTAGTACTTATAAGTGTCTGTCGATTTCTTCACCTTATAGCATCAGTTGCATGTTTTTGAACTATGTCACACGGGTTTTACCTATCCCCAGTATTTATATCATTATCGAATATGAGTTATTGTTATATTGCGTCTAGGAAATTATTCGGTTTATTGTAATTTACCATACAAAATGAATTGCCCTCAAATGAAACAAATGAATAACTAATAATTTCATAACCTTTTCATTTCGGAAAATTCGTGCTATATTAGTTACCAAATTATCTAAAGATACCTCTATTCCATTTGTATCAAAATATACATTTTATTCAAGTTCAATCTCAGAATTTAATTTTAATATTACAATAGTATTTATTCAAGCAACTTTTATACAGCGGCCTACGCAAACCCCTTGATTCCGAAACTGAACATTTTAACAATATCGGCACAATAATAATTGATTAAATCCAAATTCGTATTGGCAAAATAGGAATTTTAAAAACAGTGATAACGAAGTTTCTGTAACAGACGGAAAGTTTGCAAAGGCGGCCTCAGCAGAATCCCTCCGTTCCGTTTCACCAGGCTCGGACTCCGTCTTCTATTCGGAGCAAACTGAGCACAGCCTTGGGGCGGAAGACGAGGCGAGAGCCCACTGCCTACACTGCGGCAAAGAGGTCCACATCGTCACAGCCTCGCATGACGACAGTAGGACCTCTAAGACTTCGCATACTGATGTAAGTATTGCAGAATAAAGATCATTATTAATTTTACTTTAGTTAAACAAAGTTATTCTGTTATTCTTCTCAATTCGAAACAGTAGTTCCTGAAATTAGCGAATAAAACCAAACAAACAAAGTCTCCAGCTATACAATTTGTTTTGTTAAATATATAAATGCTACCTCCAATATAGTTTAATGACCTTGTTTATCCATGTATATTTCTAAAAATACTGAAGAACTATAAATAACATATGGTATACATATTATTAGTCATCAATACAAAAACTTTCTTTATAATATAGGTAAAAAATACAATATTACATCTAAAAAATTTATTTCTCACATATTATAATGACGCTATGGCTTGTGCTAACTTTTCATAATGAAGGCGAAATTTTCGATACAAGTATTATTACTTGTTTAATAACTTCATTACCGGTTAGATTTTAATAATAATTTTAAATAAGTGCTTATGAGCTATAGTTCTTAAATTTACGTCTGTTGATTACAAATGTACGAACAAAAATCTGGCCGAAGTGGGATGGTCGAGTCGGATACGATAATAAATTGTATTTCAACCAAAAATTTAAATAACGCTTTTTTTTATACACAAACATTTTTTTCTAAAAAATAAAATCTATCTCATTTTGTATCATAGGAATCGTATGCGGACGCGACACCAGACATAGTTCCTGCCCCAGCTGGCTTTGCTGACTCTCCTTCTTGTATGTCCACGAAGAAACACGCCAGTGGAGTCCGACTCTACAAAAAGTTAGACAAAAGATACAGATCCGAGGATAAATCTAGGAACTATCGGTATAGGCAGGATGTTCGAGCGAAGGTGATTTATTGATATTGACAATTTATATTAAGTTTAACTCGGATTCTCTTTAACGCCTTATGATATTTTACAAGCAAATATTTAGTTAAACAGCATGGCCAGTGCTTTCTATTGACCTACATCGCAAAAAATGTTGTATGTCTCAATGATCTTTGACCACAAACAAAGTTGTTATCTTAAGAAAGTGATTCTGAGATAAGTTTACAGTAAAGTCCCATTTGTCAAATGATTGAAGTTTTAGTAAGTTAGTTTTAGTTGACACTTGTCATTGATTTATTCTTTGCTTTATTAAACTAAATGCTTCATATAAAGTTTGGTTATATACATGGGTATTATTACAGTCGGAAGAACGAGGCAAGGAAGAGTATGCGACTAGTGAGAAACCTCAGGACGCCCGTATAGCACGTTCCGCTGGCAACAGTTTGGACAAGCTCGCGGCTAATGCCAGTGTAGATCCTGATGGTATGCAATTTTATGCTACTCGTAGTTTTTTAATGACTTGAAATCTACAAAACATATTTTTTTTGTAAATTGTCTCTGCATACAGACATTATTTAACATTACGATCTAGCCTAACTTAAGACTAAAAAGTAATTTAAGTCTTACCTAATTTACTAATAAGGATATTTTAATATAAGAAAGTGTCCAATAACACTACTTACAATCTCTATTAAGGTGAAATCACTGTTCTTGTGTACATTTTTTTTCCACTTACAACTGATAGCACTTAAGAATAACGCGCACTCACACTAATTTACCAATTCGAATGGTTTTGTCAATTTCAACCTTCTCACTAGGCCCGTCGTGTCAAGGAGTTGAATAGCCTCGACACTCACGTGTTGGCGGAGCCTTTTTTCTTGCACTCCTGCAATAAAGCTGCAAAAATAATATAAATAACTAGAACTCATTGAAGTAATATGATTACTCTGCCTGTCTACACGTGTAAACCGATGTCAAGACGATTTTAAATCTTAGCAAATTGGATTATGCCACAGATTACACTACTAGTCTTTGTTTAAAACTAAAATCTTATTATGTATATATGATTTGTTTAGCGATTGCGATTTGCGATAACATGAAATTGTTTTAATGATGTCTACTTCCTACTGGTCTTTTTTACTCGTCTCTTATTATACAATGAAGTCCCCCAGCCGAGTCTCTGTCTTAACGAATTACTCAAAATACCGTTTTCACCAACGGTGAAACACCACATAAGTGGGTATCCTGACAAAGATTTAGGTGTATAATTTGTTATTATCATATGTAAATTTACTAAAATATAAAAAATTTTATTGAATGAATCCCCCAGCCGAGTCTATCTGTTTGTATGAACGCCATTTCCTTACGTAGGGTTTTCACCAACTGATACGTCGGAATTCCTGAGAAAGGTGTATAATTTGTTAATATTATACCTATGTAAATTTAAACAAATATACCCACTCAAAGTGGTCGAGGAGGTAAAAAAATCTTTCTTGAGTTTACGTAATGCAGGTAAGCTGCAGCAGCCCCATTTTGAATATAAGAGTTGTATTTTCCAAAGCAGAAATCTGTATAGGTATCTTTATACACGTTAGACGCAGTCTTATTTCTATAGCTTTTTTTTATATAGAACGGGGGGCAAACGGGCAGGAGGCTCACCTTATGTTAAGTGATACCGTCGCCCATGGACACTCTCAATTCCAGAGGGCTCGCGAGTGCGTTGCCGGCCTTTTAAAAATTGGTACGCTCTTTTCTTGAAGGACCCTAAGTCGAAAGTCGAAGGTCGAAGTCGAGTTGGTTCGGAAATACTTCAGTGGGCAGCTGGTTCCACATAGTGGTGGTGCGCGGCAAAAACTGCCTTGAAAATCGCTCAGTTGTGGAACTCTCAATGTTTTTATATGTCCACAATTATGAATACTGTTAATATTTTTAGAGCAAGAAGACTATTCTGGAAGTTCTGAGGGTGCTGAAGGTCGGACCGAGCGCGGAGTATACGCAACTCCCTGGTGGTGTGGAAACTGGATACTACTCTCTGAAACTGATGAGCATTGGACTAGGATTCCACCAGGTCTAGATTATGCATTTTTTTAAATTCACAAATATTTATTGTATATTTCTGAGCAGTACGCACGCGGTGCAGAGCAGTGTTGGCCTAGTGGCTTCAGCGTGTGACTCTCATTCCTGAGGCCGTAGGTTCGATCCCTGGCTGTGCACCAATGGACTTTCTTTCTATGCCGTTTGGCCACAATCCCATCTGTTGTTAAGTGAGTTAGTATTGGGGGCACGCCTGTCCAGGAGAAGCTTGTTCAACCGCCGCTTAATTGAACCCATATCATAGTGTCTCTATCGTGAAAGCCAAAAATCATTGTTGTATGATAGGCACAAACATATACGAAGACAAAACCTAGGCCCAAAAAAGGGTTGTAGAGTTACTGGATTATTATTAATACTTTTAAACTTTTCAATAATGAACTAAGCTTATAAATCAACAGATGTTACCGTAGCATCAGAAGGCCAGGAAGATCCGACGGAGTCTGAGAGCGAGTTCAACAAACGCTACGTTGCGCTCACGCATCGCCTCGTACATCGACGGGCCTGCATCGAACTGAATAAACGACAGTCGAACAATACGTTTGGTAAGTTTTGAGCTGTGATATTTACTACTATAATTTAATTGACCATTAATATATGTATTACAAATAAATAAATAAAAGGAAAATAATAACTAACCTTAAAATATATTAACTAAAATATATTATTAAAAGGAGTCCCTTTTGGCAAGGTTCCGAAGATAATAGCAGCGTTCCCCGTTTGAATAGCTAGACTAAATCTTTGTCCGAGCTTCCAGCTCTTCGGTCTCCTGTGATGTCAACTAACCTTTTTGCTATTTCCTTAAAAAGCCTTGTAGCGCTAGGACCCCACGGACCAAAGGTCTCGATACCGAATGGGACAAAATCATATTCGAAGCCTAGACCACTGTGTCTGCATGCTATTCACCATTTATATACCTTATTTAACATTTTTATAAAATATAGAGCCTGGTATTTCTCCAAAAATGAGTTAGAATAATTTTATCTTAATACTAGTATGACAAACGCCTTTCGAGGTAAAAGCCTCCAGGCCAGAAACCACTCAATAGTTCTTAGTCCCCTGACTCCTCTTGCGTAAGACCTTCCGGGCTTTATTGAACGACTGACTCATCGTTGGTTCTTGAGACGCACGTAATGGGCATGTGCCATTTCCACTTCAAGCTTAGTGAGAGCAGCGTCCCATCCATAGTTTTTCTGATAATTTTGATTTTATATTTAAGCTATTATATTTTGGTACGATTCGTCAATTTCTGAAAGGAGCTTTGGCCGTTTAAATATGTGCAAATATGTTGCGTCTCTTCTGATGTTAGGATGTCGTTAAAGATTTTCGTCAGAACAGTTTCGATATCCTAACATCAGAACAGATTCCTAGACAATGGCAAACCTCGCACATAATTCTTATATACAAAAAAGGCTCAAAGGAAGACTTATCCAACTATAGACCAATAAGCCTGATGTCAAACATATATAAGGTTTTCTCCAAGATATTACTAGATCGATTAAGCACCACATTAGACGAGAGCCAACCAATGGAACAGGCCGGATTTAGGAAAAACTTCGCAACGATAGATCATATACACACAGTCAAACAAATCATAGAAAAATACAGTGAATATAACAAAACAGTGTATATGGCTTTTATAGATTACACCAAAGCTTTTGACAGCATCAAACATGAAGTGATATGGGAAAGCTTAGAAAACCAAGGAGTATCCGGGGCCTATATAAACATCATAAAACAAATATATGCTAACTGCAATGCAAGAATACAAATGGAAACACTCGGAAAGACATTTAAAATCGAAAGAGGTGTCAGACAAGGGGACCCATTATCTCCCAAGCTATTTTCTGCTGTGCTTGAAAACATATTCCGAAAACTAGAATGGAATGAATTTGGACTAAATATTGATGGGAGAAAACTACATCATCTTCGATTTGCAGACGACATTGTATTGTTCGAAGAGAACCCTCATAAACTTGGAGAAATGATACAAGACTTAAACAAAGAAAGTGAGAAAGTAGGCCTGAAAATGAACACAAGCAAAACAAAGCTACTATCAAATTCAGTCCCATACGAAATAAAACTTAATAATCAACCTCTAGAATACGTTGAAGAGTACATTTATCTGGGGCAAATTATCTCTCTAACTGATATAACCACCAAAGAGATCAAAAGAAGAATAGCAAATGGATGGAAAAGATATTGGTCACTGAGGGAGATCATGAAAACAACAGATTTCAGCAAAAAATAAAGAGAAAAGTCTTTAACACATGTATCCTACCCTGCCTTACCTATGGCTGCGAAACTTGGGCACTATCTAACCAGCACAGGGATATGTTAGCACACTGCCAAAGAGCCATGGAAAGAAGCATGCTGAGCATAAGAAAATTAGATAAACAAATAAACTCAGACATAAGAGCTAGAACAGGTGTGACAGACATTCTCACTAAGATTGACCAAATGAAATGGAGATGGACGGGTCATATGCTACGGAGCCCTCATGAAAAATGGAGCAAAATTGTGACGGAATGGTACCCTAGAGACGGAAAACGAAGAAGAGGTCGACCACGCAAGAGATGGGAGGACGAACTGAAACTAACAGCAGGCTACAACTGGAGAAGAGTCGCAAAAGATAGAGAACAGTGGAAAGGGTTAGAGGAGGCCTTTGCCAAGCGTCGCTTAGCTAACAATACCGCATAAGTCAGATTTGCTTAGTTTTCAGGAGAGACAAAAAACTGTATTACTTTAACATTTTGTACAATACATGCATGATAAAATTTTTAATATATTGTATTTAGTTAAGCATGATAACTATAAAAACAAATAAAAGAAATATCGTCTTATTAGGTAATTGCAAGACTTGAGCAGTTTTACTTTAACAAAATAAAGACTTACGCGGTGTTTTTACCTTTTATTTTTAAGCTCTATAAGTCTTTCATAGAAAATCTTTCTATGAAAAACTATCGAAATAAAAACATTTTTCAAAAATAGTTTTATAAAACTAATTATTAACTTCAATAAAATAAAAAAAGATTGCTAAATTAGCTTTTTATCAAAAAAAAACACATTTCTTTGCCGTTTTATTTTCTTATTCCAACAGGACAACCCTTGCCGGGTTCGCTAATATTATAATATATTATAGGAACTCACTGACTTTTACGACTGTACTGTTTGACGAGATCAACTACTTACCTACTGAGATCAATAAAATTATCTAAGTTACAATGGAAACCAGAGGTGGTTTGCTTTGTAATTTAGGTAATTTTTTTCCATGACTTCTAATAATTCTAAACTCTCAAAAACTTTAATAAAAATGGTACATTTAACACAAACAATACAAGACAATAAAAACACTTCGAATACTTAACCTACTTCTAAAAATAATACAAAATGTTTATGGATCTAATAATGAAAAATATTTAATTTTTATAAGGTAACTCATCATAATATGCGTGGCAGTTCGAAGGTATCACTGCCTTTAAATCTTGGAGATCCTTATATTTTCTTTGGGAAATAGGCAGTCTTTCAGAAAATAATTTCGGCAGCTCTTCTAAAGGTTTTACATTGGTAATTTTCATTGGACGCTGAGGCAACGGCTGCAAAGGTTCGTCAAAGTTTAAGCTATACCAAATAGTTCCATCTGGTTTATATTTTAATACCCTTAAATCGGTAATAGTGGGATCTCCGAATTTTCTGCCCGGACGAATGGTTTTGTAAATTAAATCCTTACTGAAATTGTAAAAATACAATATTACCGGTAGTAATTTTCTATTTAAAATTATCTGTAGTTGATCCACAATGCACGATGCGAAAACGGAAGCTTCAAGGGAGCCATTTGATTCATCGAACCAGTAGCAGCAAGCTTCACGTGTTGACAAATTGTACATGGACAAATTGTGAACAGATAAAATGTCTTGTAGTATATGGCACTAGCCTGAAGGTAGGGAGCTAATTTTACTGATTGAACATCTTGCGTAAATACATGACACGTTTTTCCTTCTATTGCCAATTTTTTGTCAGTGTCTTTTTCTTTTCTAGCTTTGTCTTTCCTATCGCGATGTATTGCAATTTCAGTATCGATTATATTTCCAAATTTATGACCACAGCATACATCGCATTGATCTTTTTTTTGGGATGAAAATGACTAAGATTCTGTTTTAAGAATACATTGTCAAAAACCCTACGACTAAGACATTTTAAGGAATCTGATTCGCATTTACTGACGTATTCTTTGTATAATTGTGCCATGGTATGAAGTACTGGTTCTAGGTGTTGTCTGGATGAGTTTGCTCGACAGTAGACGATGACATCTTCGGCAGGCTATCTAAAAATTGCTGTTGACGCTCGTGACCATCAGAGTTCTTTTTGGAGCAATCTACATTCCGAGAAATCTCAGAAGGCGGTGGCATAGCACAATCTGTCGTTATCAACCAGTATCGGACAAACCATTCTTTAATACCCAATGTATTTAATAACATTTTTTCTCTATGTCTCTTTTGTAAGTCACGTAAAGTAATAACTTTACATTGAGCGTCAACTCTTGAAAAGTCATCAGGCGTGGTATCATTATCGACCATTTTGTCCATTTTCGTGTTCTGAAGTAAAATATAATATAATTACGATATAGTAATCATTAAAAAAACTGCGTAAAAATCGCTAATTATATCGATGAATACCGCAGCAGTCAGAAACTCAACACAGAAGTACAGCGTAAGTCATTCAGACATCGAAACCAAGCAAAGAGAAAACCGCCGCCGGATAGTTGCCCCTAGAGTGACAAAAAATTTCTTAACAAGCAAAGACGGATTTTATTTTTTTGCTGTTTTTTTGATGTTTATTCGAATTTACTTTGTCTCTAACTTGTTGTAAATTAAATAAATATCTACTTCACAGTTTTATATATTTATTATAGATAAGCAAAAGCCTCATCAACATCAACTGGACAGAAGATAGCTTAGCACTTGCCTTCGAAAAATTGAGACAAAGTTGGGATTAAAGCACATCTTTATTAATGAGAGTAAAATGGCTGGACCTCAATGGCTAAAAAGCTTTCTTGAAAGAAATCCTGATATAACTTTGAGACAAGCTGAGGGTTTATCAATTGAAAGAGCGTAGGGTCTCAACAGAACAGAAGTTGCAAATTTTTCAAACTCTTAACTATTTTAACTGAGAATAATTTGCTGGATAAGTCAGATAAAATATTTAACATGGATGAAAGCGGTGTCCAACTCAATAATAAAATTGGTAAAGTATTAGCTAAGAAAGGTGCTAAAGCAGTTAAATCAGTTACTTCCGGTGAAAAAGGAGAAAAAATTACTGTTGTTTCTTAATATTTCAAATTGTACTTAATAAAAGATCTCAGTAAATTATAAAGACTGTTAAATAAATAATAAAGATTACTCTATTTGATATAAATTTCTTTCTATCCAAAATAAAAACGCACGAGGCAAGTATCCCCCGAAGCATTTTCTACGCTAGGCTACTATCCGCCATAGTAGGCAACTATCCCTTTTCTGAGAGGTGAAATAAAACAGTATTTATTCAAAACCATTGTTAATTATGTATACAAAAATGGGCTTTTATAGAAGATAAAAGACCTATGTTGCGAGATACATACTGAATAATTTTCAGAAAGTTCATATTTAAAAAATATAAAGCTTTTTCGAAAAGTGGGGCAACTATCCGGCTTTTCCCCTATTATTTATTAAATTCGTGTTCTAAAGATTTGTTTATCTTATTTAGTCTAATCAACGTAAATAGCGATCTCATTTTGAAATAAAACTAAAATATTCTATATTTCTTAAATTATATTTTTCTTATTATTAGGAATATTTTGGAACTTCTCGTGACAGAATTTTCAAAATCGCAGTACTTGTTTCCTGTATATCTACTATTGTAAAAGATTACCCGATTTTTGGCTCGTATTGAACAGTCGTTATTTGCTCTGTAAAGATCAAACGTCATTAATAGATTAAAATTACGTCACTATTCGCTGTCCGCAAATTATCACTGTTCAACATGACGCTAACTCTATTCTCGTCACCTCTTTATTTAAATTCGTATCGCTATTTAAAGAACGACCTCAAATACTTTTTTATGCTTTCGTTTTTAAAAATGACATAATATTCGTTTATGTAATGTATGAAACAATTGAACTTCTCGTTTCGTTCTGGTGCGCTGATGTGGAACTGTGTAAATTCCATAATAAATTAATTATATACATAAAATATATTTAGAAAAATACAGCACAACAAAATGCTCAGAAAAGTTTGATAACAATATTTTTTATTTATATCATTTGGCCTCTTGTTTATAGGAGAAGAAATGTATTAAGTATTTATAAAAATCATAATACCGATGACACTATTAAGCTATTTTTTGGACGTCTTTTGAAATAACGTAATTATTTTACTATAAGCTTATATTGTGAGATTTAGAAAACTGTATAAAAATTGCATATAAATAATTTATACCCTACAACTTCCAGCGTTATATATTAACGAAATATAAAGCCAAGTTTAATACACAAAGGTAATCTAATTGTCTGCGGTAATGAGTTACAACCTGAGCCGTATAATGCTCTTAATTTAAAACTCGTGGGTCAATTTACCATTCGACTATAGAAATATAACAGGTGATACAAAAAATGTGTTAACCATGACTCTGAATCATCCATAGTTTAAATAGAGTCGATAAAAAATCGTTTCAGGTCGGACGAATGTATGCGCACTAAATTTAATTTCACATGGCCAGCCGGACGTCACTTCTCAGTTGCTTAAGTCTTGCGAGTGTAGAGGCACGCCTAGTCTCTCGGTGTTTTATTTTCTATCGATTTTGACATTACGCCTGTGACGTCATCGAAATGTGCGCGCAATCAATAGTTAAATATTTAGATTAGTTTCGTGTATAAATTAGTAAAATGGGGCACACCTGTAAGTTTATTATGATTTTATTTGTTTATTTCGTAATCCTTTAAGTTATTTTAAATTTATTTTTACGTTTTAGTACGAGGAGTTTTATCTAAACCAGATTATGGTAATTTAAGACAAAAATTGGAAGACATTTTCAAATTGATGCTGGTATTATGGTGTCGACAATGTGAAGTAAACAGACTTGTTGCACCGGAGCCCAGTGGTAATTAATTTCAAGCATTCTTTCGTATACTAACTATACGTATAACTCAAACTTGGTGCGTAATATCTTTTAAAAACAACGAATACTATGGCGAGCCCGGTACGTCCCACACATCAGAACTAACCATTTATTTATTTATTTAGTTATTAAGCTTACGACATCACACACAGTACTAAATCTACTAATTATTTTACAAAATCTTTCATATAAAATGTGTGACACATTAATTGTAAACATAAGTTTCACAAAAAAAATTGAAATTAGAAATTAAAAAATACAATTTAAACATATACGATAATACAAGCACACAATAAAATAAAATAAAATTGTAGAAATTTGTTGGCACTTAGAGCAGAAAAAAAAGAAAAATCATCAGCAAAACAGCGAAATTAGGTTCGAGAAGGCACCCCACAATGCTTTCTCTAAAAAAATCCATCCAATCCTCCATTGAGATATCATGAAAGATTTTTTGGACAATTAGTGTAAATATTATGAGGCTGGCGCTAGCATGAATGAAGATATGCGGTCTTTGGATAAATGCCAATTCTATTGATATGGTTTTAGATTTTTTCGATATTAGGTCTGGGTTCAAAAGAATGTGTGTCATGGCCATACGAATTGAAAATGATGTGGATATACCAGGATGATAACCTCAATCTGTGCGATTAATGTTGCTTTAGTTTTTCAAGTTATTTATTAACCTGCGTTTTTGAATTGTTATTGAAACGGTGAAAGCTTTTATCGATTAAAGAAAAGTCATTATTACTCTCTATAGTATTACAATCAATACAGCAATATTATTATTAATATATTTATACATATTATTACGATCAACATAGAGTCTTATAATAAAAATCGGCTTTTACTAAAAATACATAGGTTACTTGTGTTGCATTTTGTTTTGGCCATATGTTTCAAAATTTTCATCTTCATTTTCAAATGAAAATTTCAACTCCACTCCCTATTGACGATTAAATAATTAATCGAAGCAATGACATTTATGTTTTAGGCCTAAAATAGTTCTACTATATAATATTTCAAAACCTCATAACTAAAGGAACATGTTACATTAATGAGTTTTTCAAGTAAGCGATCAGCCCTGTCTGCCTACTATGAAAGAAACATTATTTCGCCGCAATCGAACCGTACATCTCAAGTTCAAATTCAAATTAAAAATAATTTAATCATTTAGGTAACACTATGTACACTTATGAACGTCAATAAAGAAATACATATTAAATCGTTCTAATTTTACATTTATTGCCAGTTCTCAAATCAAGGGCGTAGAACAGACAAGAAGAACTGGCAATAAACTCTCCGCCACTCTTTTTAATCGCCAAGGTTTGCAAGGAGCTGCAACCATTGATAGACCATGTTCCACATGAAATCTTTAAGTAATTAAGTTTATAATATGTCATACATAAATAGAAAATACTAATACTTCGTATCATTATTAATTATTCTATGTGTACCCTTCATTTGTTTATATAAATGATCTACCTTTCATGGTAGAGAGAAAACATCAGATAGTTTTGTTTGCTGATGACACGTCCTTGATTTTTAAAATCAAACGACAAATAACAAATTTTGACGATGTGAACAATGCTCTGTCTTCGATTGTCCATTGGTTTAGTATGAATAACCTTCTACTTAATGCAAAAAAGACAAAATGCATTAAATTTTGTGCAAAAAATGCAAGGGTTATGGATACTAGACCAATTATAAACGGTGAGGAATTGAATCTGGATGATACAACTGTATTTCTCGGAATCACCATGGATTCAAAACTTCAGTGGTCCCCTCATATTAACGGATTGGCGAAGAGACTTAGTTCTGCAGCCTACGCGGTTAAAAAAATTCGCTCACTAACTGATGTCGATACAGCTAGACTTGTTTATTTTAGTTACTTTCATAGCTTAATGACTTATGGCTTATTATTATGGAGTCATGCTGCTGATGTCGAAACTATTTTCATCCTGCAGAAGAGGGCTATTCGTGCAATCTATAATTTAAAATGTAGGGAATCTCTTAGAGATAAATTCAAGGAAATTAATATACTAACCTTTCCCTCGCAATATATTTATGAAAATATAATGTATGTATACAAAAATAGTGATAAGTTTACTAGAATAGAACATACGCACAATGTTAATACACGGAACAAACGCAGGCTGCAATTTCCCCGTACGAGACTATCTAAAGTTAGTAATTCTTTTTTGGGGAAAGGGATACTCTTCTTTAATAAAATCCCAGAGGCTCTTTTATCACTGCCTTTCAATAAATTTAAGAAATGTATTAAAGAAAAGCTGTGTAAAAAGGCTTACTATAAAGTCAACGATTATCTAGTTGATAAAAGGGCCTGGGACTAGTGCTAGACAGGCTACTTCTAATTAATTTGCGATATTTGTTTTAAATAAGTGTTGTTTGATGATTTGCTGTTTTAAAAGAGTACCGAGAGTTTTTTACGCCGGCTTTTTCTCTCGGCCTACACCCTCTGTCTTCTGTGTCTGTGAAGTTAGCAGAGCACTTACCAGCAGAGCACAAAAAAAATTAGAGTTCTGGCAGCACACTCAATAGTTCTATAGTTCCTGATAGTTTTTAGAAAGAGTTCTGGACTTTTTAGTCCAGAAAATAATTTTTTTAAAATTGTAAAATGCTCTGCCAGCTTCCCGATCACAGCAGAGCATTTCTTACCGATTTCGATAAATAAGGTCTCATTAAAACAATCATTTCAATTGTAACAGTTCCCTATCATTTAAATCCAAAAATAAAAAGGTTTAATTATCAAAAAAATAAAGAAGAGTGAGAGAAAACGAAATAATGAGCATTTTTGAAAGATTTTACTAAATGAAAAAAAAACCATATCGTACAGACATGGGAACTCCGCGGTTCCTATTGGATCTATTAGATGTCTAGGCAACACAATTAAATCCTAGACCAGAACTCTTCGCTTTCTCTCAGCAGAGCATACCTCTATGATGAAAATTGGCAATTTTTTCACTTATTTTAGAAAAATTCAAAATAATATTAAATGTTGGGTCTAGACATGGGAACTCCGCGGTTTCTATTAGATCTTTTAGATGTCTAGGCATCACAATTAAATCCTAGGCCAGAACTCTTCGCTTTCTCTCAGCAGAGCATACCTCTATGATGAAAATTGGCAATTTTTTAACTTATTTTAGAAAAATTAAAAATAATATTAAATGTTGGAACTAGACATGGGAACTCCGCGGTTTCTATTAGATCTTTTAGATGTCTAGGCATCACAATTAAATCCTAGGCCAGAACTCTTCGCTTTCTCTCAGCAGAGCATACCTCTATGATGAAAATTGGCAATTTTTTAACTTATTTTAGAAAAATTCAAAAAAATATTAACTTTTGGGTCTAGACATGGGAACTCCGCGGTTCCTATTAGATCTATTAGATGTCTAGGCAATACAATTAAATCCTAGACCAGAACTCTTCGCTTTCTCTCAGCAGAGCATACCTCTATGATGAAAAGTGCAGATTTTGAATATATTTTAACAATCAGTAAGAATCATTGAATTTAGATTTGGTCGCATTGTGTGTATATAATTAAATGAGGGCTTATTTTTGTGCGGTCGTTTGTGGTTTGTGTAGTTTTTAGTAAGTCATCATATTTAGACCAATTTTTTCCGGATACCGCGTTTTAACAAAAGATCGTTTCAACTGCGCCAGTACATATTATAAAGATTTGATTTTTGGTTTGAAATGACATAACTCAAAAACTATACAATCGATTTTAAAAATTCTTTCACCACTATAAAGCTACATAACCAACAAATCACAAAAAGTATTAAAAAAAAACCTTGCGTTACTACAAAATATAGAAACAAAGCAAGAAAAATAAATGTAACAAATAAGTGCTATATTGCCAATTTTCATGATAGAGGTATGCTCTGCTGAGAGAAAGCGAAGAGTTCTGGCCTAGGATTTAATTGTGATGCCTAGACATCTAAAAGATCTAATAGAAACCGCGGAGTTCCCATGTCTAGACCCAACATTTAATATTTTTTTGAATTTTTCTAAAATAAGTTAAAAATTGCCAATTTTCATCATAGAGGTATGCTCTGCTGAGAGAAAGCGAAGAGTTCTGGCCTAGGATTTAATTGTGATGCCTAGACATCTAAAAGATCTAATAGAAACCGCGGAGTTCCCATGTCTAGACCCAAAAGGTTATTTTTTTTTAATTTTTCTAAAATAAGTGAAAAAATTGCCAATTTTCATCATAGAGGTATGCTCTGCTGAGAGAAAGCGAAGAGTTCTGGTCTAGGATTTAATTGTGATGCCTAGACATTTAAAAGATCTAATAGAAACCGCGGAGTTCCCATGTCTAGACCCAAAAGGTTATTTTTTTTAATTTTTCCAAAATAAGTGAAAAAATTGCCAATTTTCATGATAGAGGTATGCTCTGCTGAGAGAAAGCGAAGAGTTCTGGTCTAGGATTTAATTGTGTTGCCTAGACATCTAATAGATCTAATAGGAACCGCGGAGTTCCCATGTCTGGACCCAAAAGGTTATTTTTTTTTAATTTTTCTAAAATAAGTGAAAAAATTGCCAATTTTCATCATAGAGGTATGCTCTGCTGAGAGAAAGCGAAGAGTTCTGGTCTAGGATTTAATTGTGATGCCTAGACATTTAAAAGATCTAATAGAAACCGCGGAGTTCCCATGTCTAGACCCAAAAGGTTATTTTTTTTTAATTTTTCTAAAATAAGTGAAAAAATTGCCAATTTTCATGATAGAGGTATGCTCTGCTGAGAGAAAGCGAAGAGTTCTGGTCTAGGATTTAATTGTGTTGCCTAGACATCTAATAGATCTAATAGGAACCGCGGAGTTCCCATGTCTGGACCCAAAAGGTTATTTTTTTTGAATTTTTCTAAAATAAGTGAAAAAATTGCCAATTTTCATCATAGAGGTATGCTCTGCTGAGAGAAAGCGAAGAGTTCTGGTCTAGGATTTAATTGTGTTGCCTAGACATCTAAAAGATCTAATAGAAACCGCGGAGTTCCCATGTCTAGACCCAAAAGGTTATTTTTTTTTAATTTTTCTAAAATAAGTGAAAAAATTGCCAATTTTCATCATAGAGGTATGCTCTGCTGAGAGAAAGCGAAGAGTTCTGGTCTAGGATTTAATTGTGTTGCCTAGACATCTAATAGATCTAATAGGAACCGCGGAGTTCCCATGTCTGGACCCAACATTTAATTTTTTTTGAATTTTTCTAAAATAAGTGAAAAAATTGCCAATTTTCATCATAGAGGTATGCTCTGCTGAGAGAAAGCGAAGAGTTCTGGTCTAGGATTTAATTGTGTTGCCTAGACATCTAATAGATCTAATAGGAACCGCGGAGTTCCCATGTCTGGACCCAACATTTAATTTTTTTTTGAATTTTTCTAAAATAAGTTAAAAAATTGCCAATTTTCATCATAGAGGTATGCTCTGCTGAGAGAAAGCGAAGAGTTCTGGCCTAGGATTTAATTGTGATGCCTAGACATTTAAAAGATCTAATAGAAACCGCGGAGTTCCCATGTCTAGACCCAAAAGGTTATTTTTTTTAATTTTTCTAAAATAAGTGAAAAAATTGCCAATTTTCATCATAGAGGTATGCTCTGCTGAGAGAAAGCGAAGAGTTCTGGTCTAGGATTTAATTGTGTTGCCTAGACATCTAATAGATCTAATAGGAACCGCGGAGTTCCCATGTCTGGACCCAACATTTAATTTTTTTTTGAATTTTTCTAAAATAAGTGAAAAAATTGCCAATTTTCATCATAGAGGTATGCTCTGCTGAGAGAAAGCGAAGAGTTCTGGTCTAGGATTTAATTGTGTTGCCTAGACATCTAAAAGATCTAATAGAAACCGCGGAGTTCCCATGTCTAGACCCAAAAGGTTATTTTTTTTAATTTTTCTAAAATAAGTGAAAAAATTGCCAATTTTCATCATAGAGGTATGCTCTGCTGAGAGAAAGCGAAGAGTTCTGGTCTAGGATTTAATTGTGTTGCCTAGACATCTAATAGATCTAATAGGAACCGCGGAGTTCCCATGTCTGGACCCAACATTTAATTTTTTTTGAATTTTTCTAAAATAAGTGAAAAAATTGCCAATTTTCATCATAGAGGTATGCTCTGCTGAGAGAAAGCGAAGAGTTCTGGCCTAGGATTTAATTGTGATGCCTAGACATTTAAAAGATCTAATAGAAACCGCGGAGTTCCCATGTCTAGACCCAAAAGGTTATTTTTTTTTAATTTTTCTAAAATAAGTGAAAAAATTGCCAATTTTCATCATAGAGGTATGCTCTGCTGAGAGAAAGCGAAGAGTTCTGGTCTAGGATTTAATTGTGTTGCCTAGACATCTAATAGATCTAATAGGAACCGCGGAGTTCATATGTCTGGACCCAACATTTAATTTTTTTTGAATTTTTCTAAAATAAGTTAAAAAATTGCCAATTTTCATCATAGAGGTATGCTCTGCTGAGAGAAAGCGAAGAGTTCTGGCCTAGGATTTAATTGTGATGCCTAGACATTTAAAAGATCTAATAGAAACCGCGGAGTTCCCATGTCTAGACCCAAAAGGTTATTTTTTTTAAATTTTTCTAAAATAAGTGAAAAAATTGCCAATTTTCATCATAGAGGTATGCTCTGCTGAGAGAAAGCGAAGAGTTCTGGTCTAGGATTTAATTGTGTTGCCTAGACATCTAATAGATCTAATAGGAACCGCGGAGTTCCCATGTCTGGACCCAACATTTAATTTTTTTTTGAATTTTTCTAAAATAAGTTAAAAAATTGCCAATTTTCATCATAGAGGTATGCTCTGCTGAGAGAAAGCGAAGAGTTCTGGCCTAGGATTTAATTGTGATGCCTAGACATCTAAAAGATCTAATAGAAACCGCGGAGTTCCCATGTCTAGACTCAAAAGGTTATTTTTTTTAATTTTTCTAAAATAAGTGAAAAAATTGCCAATTTTCATCATAGAGGTATGCTCTGCTGAGAGAAAGCGAAGAGTTCTGGTCTAGGATTTAATTGTGTTGCCTAGACATCTAAAAGATCTAATAGAAACCGCGGAGTTCCCATGTCTAGACCCAAAAGGTTATTTTTTTTTTAATTTTTCTAAAATAAGTGAAAAAATTGCCAATTTTCATCATAGAGGTATGCTCTGCTGAGAGAAAGCGAAGAGTTCTGGTCTAGGATTTAATTGTGTTGCCTAGACATCTAATAGATCTAATAGGAACCGCGGAGTTATCATGTCTGGACCCAACATTTAATTTTTTTTTGAATTTTTCTAAAATAAGTTAAAAAATTGCCAATTTTCATCATAGAGGTATGCTCTGCTGAGAGAAAGCGAAGAGTTCTGGCCTAGGATTTAATTGTGATGCCTAGACATTTAAAAGATCTAATAGAAACCGCGGAGTTCCCATGTCTAGACCCAAAAGGTTATTTTTTTTAAATTTTTCTAAAATAAGTGAAAAAATTGCCAATTTTCATCATAGAGGTATGCTCTGCTGAGAGAAAGCGAAGAGTTCTGGTCTAGGATTTAATTGTGTTGCCTAGACATCTAATAGATCTAATAGGAACCGCGGAGTTCCCATGTCTGGACCCAACATTTAATTTTTTTTTGAATTTTTCTAAAATAAGTTAAAAAATTGCCAATTTTCATCATAGAGGTATGCTCTGCTGAGAGAAAGCGAAGAGTTCTGGCCTAGGATTTAATTGTGATGCCTAGACATCTAAAAGATCTAATAGAAACCGCGGAGTTCCCATGTCTAGACTCAAAAGGTTATTTTTTTTTAATTTTTCTAAAATAAGTGAAAAAATTGCCAATTTTCATCATAGAGGTATGCTCTGCTGAGAGAAAGCGAAGAGTTCTGGTCTAGGATTTAATTGTGTTGCCTAGACATCTAAAAGATCTAATAGAAACCGCGGAGTTCCCATGTCTAGACCCAAAAGGTTATTTTTTTTTTAATTTTTCTAAAATAAGTTAAAAAATTGCCAATTTTCATCATAGAGGTATGCTCTGCTGAGAGAAAGCGAAGAGTTCTGGTCTAGGATTTAATTGTGTTGCCTAGACATCTAAAAGATCTTATAGGAACCGCGGAGTTCCCATGTCTGTACAATATGGTTTTTTTTTCATTTAGTAAAATCTTTCAAAAATGCTCATTATTTCGTTTTCTCTCACTCTTCTTTATTTTTTTTTGATAATTAAACCTTTTTATTTTTGGATTTAAATGATAGGGAACTGTTACAATTGAAATGATTGTTTTAATGAGACCTTATTTATCGAAATCGGTAAGAAATGCTCTGCTGTGATCGGGAAGCTGGCAGAGCATTTTACAATTTTAAAAAAAATTATTTTCTGGACTAAAAAGTCCAGAACTCTTTCTAAAAACTATCAGGAACTATAGAACTATTGAGTGTGCTGCCAGAACTCTAATTTTTTTGTGCTCTGCTGGTAAGTGCTCTGCTAACTTCACAGACACCTGTCTTCTTTGCCGATGAGTAGGGATGCCTTCAAATTTAATGACGTGGAATAAGTGATACATGTATCTTATGTTCCATAATAAACATATTTTATTTATTTTATGTGTACTCTTCATGACATATTGGTGCAATTTTAAGCGTAATCCATCGAAACTTCAAAACAAAAGTAAGCTTTTAAAAAAGTTGCTACGAAGTTACGGACTATTAGTCAAGCTAAAATCTTTGTAAACGAATTTCAGAAAGCGATAAAACAGTGGTGGTACGCCGAGGCAATGAAGAATTTGGGTTTAGGATCCATGGAAGCAAACCAGTGGTCGTGTCAGCCATCGAACCTGACACTCCAGCTGAATCTTCTGGACTTGAAGTGGGAGATATCATTATATCTGTCAATGGTGAGTGTGTATTTTCACCACTGTTGGCATTTTGTATATAATAATAGTAAGAATAAAATTTTATATATTATTAATTAATATTAAAAATGTTTAGTACAGAAGAAACAATAATAGACACTTGTAAATTAAATACGTTGATACAGCGATGATAAAGACTTTTAAGTTTTAAAAGGTTTAAAATATATTAAATAATTTTGAAAATTGCCACATGTTGTAAAAGTGTTGGTAGAAACAGGGAATTGTTGTTGGAATTGGAATTTATTCATAGGAGCGTGGTAAAAAGGTTACTTTTATAAGAATCCGCCGGGAATCGAGTTCAACGCCAGTACTCTGTATATTCAAGGAACAACGATTCAGAGCCTGCTGTTTTTGTTCGCAATTTCAATGTATCTCAATATATGTATAATGTAGCTTTGATATCACAATTGTCGGTACCGCTATCGGAAGTTCCAGAGTAAGTCCTCGTTATATGTATTTTGGGTTACTGACTACACTAAACATGTTTTCTGAATGATATGATAAATCTGTTTGAGGATCAAATTATAAAATTAAAAAATATTATTCCAGGAATCAATGTGTTAGACAAGACGCATTCGGAGGTGGTGAAGATTGCTCATTCAGGTTCTGAAATACTTGAATTAGATGTAAGTAACTTTCGAATGAGTCACGATAATTCTTAAGTTTGTTTATATATATGTTATATAAGTAATCTTACAGCTACACATACATATTATAAGAGAAAACATATACAACAAAATATACGTAGCAGAAATCATAAGTACATTAATAAATAAAAAAATAAAACTGAAATTAAACATTAAATAAACTACAATATTTTAAAGAAAAAGGAAATAGTTGCTACTGCTAAATATAGTCAGTCTTCCCGCTTACCAAAATCTTTACTCACACTTTGATAAGTTGGAAAATGTCTACCTCTGCATAAATTGTATTGTAGTTTGTTAAAAGCTTGAAACATTGGCTAATTACGCAGATAATTCGTGTTCGTACGAAGCAAGTTTTGGCTTTTTAATTCGTAGTTGTCAAACTAAATATGAATAAAACTGACCTGCAATAGGTACCGTTGCTAAGAGATCGCTAATGGCGATAAAACTGGTTCTAATCCCTACCTAGTTTCATCTATTGTTTGTGATTTATGCCACATATTGTTCTATTATGATGTTAATTGTTAGTACTAAAACATGTCAATTTTAAAGCAAAAAAATATTTATTAATCACGTTCTGTAATCATTATGTAAACCCGTATTTTTTAATGCATAATTATAGACGATATTTGCGTAAATATGATATCTAATATGTCTTTAATTAACATCTTGGCTTCCACACGAAACCAGAGGTCTCGGGATCGATTCCCGATAGTAATTGCTTTTATAGGCGCTCCAGCTGAGATCAAAGATAACCACCAAATTTCGTTTGCTTCTAATTGATTGTTTTGTTTGTTAATACTTTAACTGTTTACATTTTTGATTAGTGCGTATTATAATATATGGGCCCACTCAAAGTGTTGCTGGTGACAGCTATTTAAAGCTGAGTTTATTTGTTATAATCCAATGCCCCATTGGGATATAGGTCTCATAATGTTTCCAATGTACCAGGTTGCCAGAACCTGCGAGGTAGTAGCGACATTAGCCCACGAAGGAGGTCCAGCCGCCCTTTATTCAGGCTACTTATGGCGGGCTGCGCCCTTAAGGCCCCATCACCCACCACGATGGACACGACGGTGGTTTGTTCTTAAACGGGACAACTGCTTGTACTATTATAAAACGGATTCGGTAAGTTTTTATTTCCTATAACAAATTACCGTATCACCTCGACGTCCGTCGTTCCAGTATTTCTTAAGGCACTTTTGCCGCGCACTATGTAGGACCAGCCTTGCGATTAGGTAACTCACTTTTCGAACTCACACAGCGGTTTTCGCATCGGCGGTCGCTCTCAAATCAGTCGTGAAGCAGTCATTTTATGATTTGGCATTCTGATAAACAATAAACTACAAGCTCCCACCTATTCCTTCCAATTCCTAATAGGCTGGCAACGGTCTTGCGAGCCTTCAGGCAATGAAAGTGTCTATGGCGGTATCACTTAACACCAGGAGAGCTTGATACCCGTTTTCCCCGTTATATAAAAAAAAATACTAATAAGTATTAACATCTTCGTCTAATTGCTCTTTAAATAAGTGAACGTGTATATTGTAATATTAATTTAGCGCCGATTAACATCAATCAACAAGATCGGTCAACAGTAGAAATTATGTGTGATCTTTCAATTAAATACTTCCTCTCAACTAATCGACTAATCCTTATAGCTGATTTACAGAGTTAGATGTAATAAGTTAATGTACCATTAGAGATACTTATATAGAGATACTAGCTGACCGGGCAAACGTCGTTTTGCCATATATATCATTTATAATAAAAAAATAGGGGTTGATCGTAGAGGGGTGAAAGTTAGGGGTTTGTATATATATTTTTAATGCTGTATCATAAAAAAATAAAAACAGAAAAAAATATCTAAAAATAAAAATAAAAAATTTAGGGGTGGACTACCCTTAACATTTAGGGGGATGAAAAATAGATGTTGTCCGATTCTCAGACATACCCAATATGCACACAAAATTTCATGAGAATCGGTCGAGCCGTTTTGGAGGAGTATGGCAACGAAAACTGTGACACAAGAATTTTATATATTAGATAGCATCAGTACAGTATAGCTTTAACTAACATTATATGTCTATCCAAAAATATTAGAGATTTTTTTTTTGTGTATAACTTTTTTTCGAGCTGCTAACTATTGTATACTGTTCCAAATGAGAAATATTGTTGTTGGTTAATGGTAGATGTATTTTAATTACTGAAATAATATCAAAATGAATTTTCAGAGCATCCATCCCGTGGGAGCACTCATGCTGGTAAACTATCAGCTGAGCGAGGAAGATTCGGGAAAGCCTCACGGGTTCAGACTACAACGCGGCGGTGGTACGAGGCTGCAACTCGCTGCTGATACTGCAGAAGCCTCCGCTAGATGGCGCGCTGTTCTAGACCACGCTATTGACGCCAGTAATCAGGTATGGGGCGGGCTTCAACCAAGTTGCTTTCAAAATATATTATTTATCAATATTATACACGATACTTTCATATCAAAGATCGCGTGTCCACCATACTGCGAAAGTTTTGTAGCGTCATCTGTATATTAATCACGTAAATTATTAAGGGATACACGTAGATCTCACCCTTGTTAGTTGCTCTTTATTTTACTAGATGGCGTTGTGATTAAATTAGGCAACGTGTAGAGATTCGAGAACGTCGAAGTAAGATTAATACAATTTTAGTAGGTTTATTACACAAATAAAGTCTACTATTTTACACGCAATTATTCAAAAATGATCAATCGGAGATTAACTTAATTGAAATTTATGTTTCTTTCCCTCTAAATCTATTTACGCTGTGATAATATGAGATGGAATAATTTCATTAAATGGTGTAATAAGTCTGTTTTTTTAAGTGTTTCATGACTAACATAGATTAAATCTATATAGATATCCATTATATAATGGACTTAAAAAACAAGGCACATTATTAAGTAAACTTCAAAATATAGTTTCATGAAAGCAATTGCAATTCGAATTATCAATTAAATAAATTGTGGAGCTCATTTAACTTCAACAATTCTCGCTTACTTGCATTTAGGGGCCCCTTCCTTTATAATAAAATTTCCCAATCTATGGATTCTGAGACCTAACCAGATACAAACTAAAAAATCACGTTAAAACTATGCCAAATTGGATTTCGATTCTACAGAGGCCTTACTACGTATCTTGGCATAACTTTGTGGTTCTAAAACCTAACGTAGATACAGCGCAGATCATAACAACTACACCCAACCACTCCCAGCTACACTCACAAATGCATGCGCATACACACCCATTCACACACCCACACACTCATTCATACTTAATGTCTTATAAGACATAGTCGTAACACTAAAATTACTTTATAAATAAAAACTTTTTTTACATGAGCCACGGAATAATTGTTATCTAGTTACCCACTACACAGTGACTCCCTAGTGTGGGGACTAGCGATAGAAGAATTTTGTCACAACCCTTTTGTCATAAATAAAGTTTTATTTTTAATTATAATTATTGATATTATTATTATTATTGCCAAAGTTATATTTATTTAATGTTTATTCATGAAATTCAGATGTAAAGATATGAATTGAAATCTGGCTGAATTTTTTTTTCTGCCTGTCTAACACATAAAAGAAGTTCTTTTGCCTCTTCCCATATCTAAATAATAAATAGTAGTAGGTACAGAGGGTGGTATCTAATAGTGACTTTTCGTAATGGAGTTAATATTATTTATGAATATCAGCGAGATGGCTGGCTCGAAGTAACGATACGGAACATGAAGCTGCCACCGTCGTCCATACCTCGGCCGGACTGCTTCGGTTATCTGCTGAAGCTCGGCTCCAAGTGGAAGTCGTGGGCAAAGCGATACTGCGTGCTTAAGGACGCCTGCCTTTACTTCTACAATGACGGCAACAGCAAGAGTGCTTTTGGTAAGTCAAACAGTCGACTCCCGATGATTAGAAACTTAACCAGAGCTAAGTTTCAAATTACCTAGAGTTCAAAATAACAAGTGTTTTAATATCCACGAGGCAAAGTGGGGAGTCTAGTAAATAAGTGTTTGATCAAAGAGACTAAGACCCCCGAGTTTGTTTCGACATTTCTTCTCAGGGCAGTCAGATAGGAAATGTCGACTTCATCTTGTTTAGGAAGACATTGTAAAAGTGATTTATATAGTCCTACTTGCAAGAATAAACTATTTCATTTCATTTCATTTCATTATATTATTACTAGCTGCCCCCGCGAACTTCGTTTCTCCTTAATGTGGTTTTACTTAGTCTACCTTTTTAGTACATACCAACATGAAACATTTTGCTAAGCTACCCCAGAGACTGTTCGTTTTTCCGGAGTGAAAACTTTTTAGGTTTTTCTGTGATTTTTCTCTGTATAAACATCAGAGTTCAAGTTATAAGTTCTAAACTAACAAATGAACTAACTAATAGGGTTGCCTGGAATAAATCGCTTTTTAGCGATAAGGCCGCCCGTTGCCTTATAACTTTTGTAACATGTTTTTTTATTTATGTTATGTGTATGTTTTTGATTAGGGTAATAAAGTATAAATAAATAAAACATATGGGGTTGGTCGTAGAGGGTAAATGAAAATTAAGGTTGTATGTATTTTTATATGCTGAATCTAAAAAAAAACTAAAAAAATCGTCCTAAAAACATTTTTTTTTGTTGTACGCCTTATCACTTACTTAGGACTTAGGATTTTGAAAGATAGATAGTAGCCGATTCTCAGTTTCGGAGGAATATGGGAACGAACATTGTGCCACGAGAATTTTATATATAAGAGATTATTTGTTAACAATTAAATACAATAATATAATTATTAACACATTGTTATTTCGAAAAGAAGACCGTAATCTTTTTTTGAGAGAGTTGTTTTTCAGTCTGTCATTGTTCAAAGAATTTAAAAAAACAGTCGGTGCATGATAAACACTTCAAATTAAAGGACTGAATTATATATAGTTAAATCACATTTTAAAAATATTTTTCAGGTATGGCCTGTCTCCATGGATACCGTGTCCAGACATGTACTGCGGGAGGCAAAAAATATGCCTTCGAGGTGATGCCAACGGAACCTAAACAAAGACACTTCTACTTCCACACTGAGTCCGAAATGGATAGGAAAAGGTGAGCACGAGATTGCAAAACGATAAACGAAATGATAACGTTTTAGATTTTAGTTTTTTTCGTTTTTACCTGCTTAATAAAAGTATATAAAAAGCGAATTTCATACATATCATCATTATTTATAGACAACTGTATTATACATAACTCAAAATATAACACCAATTTGTTTTAAACTTGGACAGTTTGCAAAGTTTAAATATATCTGATTTAAAACATTACAATATGACTACTAGTTTTCATTCAACCAAAATTTATTATTCTCAAATATTATCCAATATCTCAAGCAGATAGCTTCCTTTTTTGAAGTCGAAAAATAGTAACTATCCTGAATTGAATGTTTTATCCTGAGGCATAGGGCCTAAAAACGCTTTAAAAAAACTAATTCAGTGAAAAACCCTGTGAAAAAAAAATGTTAAATAAGATTATTTGATTTCAGATGGATGGCAGCCTTAGAATACTCGATAGACAGGTGGATGAAGGCCGGTTGACGAACATATTTCATGTCGGACTCATTCGAATTTATATAAACCATTACAATTTTTTGTTTTTTATTCAAAGGTTAAGGTTTGATCTATTTGCCATAATTTTGCTTGCTTTATTTTAAAGAAACAAATAATATTGTAAAATGAATTTTGCCATAGCGAGAAAAGTTCACGTTCAATGGCTCTTTTGAAAATTTTTATTATGCAATGTTAAAAATTTTGAACATTATAAAATATACTACCCGTCCTGAAAAGGCTTCAAATTTAGGACAAATATATAATATATCGAAAAAATATATTATATTTAATTCAATATCTTTAATTTACAGTTAAACATAAAAAATATATCATATCCAAGATTATTTAAAAAATATATTTAAACAAAGGTATTACAAATATTTAATATTTTTAAAAATCCATTTCATTTATTTTTGATCAATTTATAGTGAAGGATTCGAATGGTAAAAAAAATTAAACAGAAAAACACCCAAAAAATCTTGAAAAATCTCTATTACATAAAAATCGACCATTTTAAAAGAACGAAAAACTATGATAGTTTATTGAAAGAAAATTCGTAGAGGTTATTTAGAATTAGATAAATCAGTGCGATCCAAATATATTCCTAAAGCGAATAATATGTGTAAAGAAAAGTAGTGATAAGCTTAATAAGTTAGTCATGTGCCAATATTATATAAAGTATATATAAATATAAATTAAATCATTCCCTTATGTTATTACTTTATATAATTAATTAACTAAGTTAAATTCATGTCTTAGCCAGATTTTTGTGCATTATTATCTCTTTTTGATCTTAATAAGGAGAATACCGTGAGAAATATTCTGAATGTTGAATGAAAGATCTAACATTATGCAAAATGATAATGTTATTAAACACATTACGATAAAATAGTACAATCGAATAGGTAACTTAATAGTATCAGCGCTCCGTGGACGTATTTGGAAAACTCATATTAACTATTCATATACCGGGAGTATGTACGACACGTTTCTGCCAAAAGCTATCGTTATCGTATCGTCAGGTATTCGTGTAGTAAATTCGGTAGGAACACTTATCGAAAAGTTTGTGCTAAGCGTTAACATTGATGTTTCATAGTCTCATATATTTACATTCGTTTTGTATTTGAATATCATCCGTTAGAATGTGGTCCATTTTAGGTGACTTTAAATAGTGCATTAAAAGATTATATAATAGGAGAAAGTAATTAATATCTGTATATAGTAATATGTGAGGCTCAAATATATATAATATATAAATAAAAAGACTTGTTAACAGACTTCGTAAATGCTTTTTAGAATAGAATCCTTTTACATTAGTGAGTGTTTTAAAATATTACTGAACGTGAGAAATCGAATATATTATAGTTAATGAAATTATAATGCACGTTAATATTAGACATTATTTTATTAATTCATAGATGTATTATGTAATTGTGTTCATAAAAAAAAATAACGAATCACATTGATAATTTATTATTCATGAAATTTTTATGTATAAATTATTGCTACTTATAAAACACGTTATCATAAAGCGCTTTTTGAAAGCGTAAATCACTGCTTTTTAATAAATGTTAGGTTTATATGGGTGTTTCTATAAATTCAAAAATTTAATGCTTATAGTTATTTATTATTGGGTGTTATGTTACTATGAAATTTTTTAAATGTATGTGGGTAAAAAAGATAGATTTCGTTGTAAATAAATTATAAAAAATATCTTAATGTGTTTTAATAATTTAAATAACCGCTTCATTGGACTATTATTGCTTGGGTATTCAAATTACTTAAATATGTATTTATATTCGACCTAAAAAAATCATACGCCAAAGATTGGAGTTTTATACATAAAAATATGCTTTGAAATTTAAAGAATCCAAAACCTAGTTTCACTATTTTTTTTTATTATTAATAGAATATCAATTAGCGTTTATTCGAAATCCAGAACCAAACATTTGAGGGCGGCGTTAATTTACACAACTTATAAGCTACTAACACGAAAAATAAACAATCCAAAAGTATCCTTTTTTTAATGTCAAAGTAAAAACTTGGAAGGCTTCGCGGGTAGCGGGCCGCGGGCGGCGGGGCGATCTACAGGAGCGCTACTGCCTCTGACATCGCAGGCACAGTAGTACGCGCACTCTGCCCAAACGACGCGCGCGCCGCGCCGCCTGCGCAGCCTTATCTCCACGATATCTTATTAGTGCAATAACATAACTTTATGAGTGGATTACAGTGCTCTCTATACACGAACAGTGATGTGATATTTAACTATGTGTACCCGTGATTGATATACGAAACAACTTTGTGTGTATTAACTGTTTTATGAGCCGTGCAGTGCGCCTATTGTTGTGTGCACATCTACTAATATCCTATTCACCTGTTGAAGTCAACTGCGGTTAGACTGTGAAATGTGACAAAAAATTGCAAAGCTTTGTTTAGTTCGGACCCTAGGTTGGTAAACTTTGTGGGCGACTACCTGACTACTGAGGGTTGATGCGTCTGGTGATCGATCGGACGACCCGTCGACTTGTGAGTCCATTTTTTAATAGAATATGTAATTTAATACAGCGGATGTGGAATAAATTGGGTAGGCAGGGTGCGTTTTATGTCGCTACCTGTTTTATTTGAACATGTGACTTCCATACCCGAACAATAACAATTAATTTTAAACCACCCAAGAAAACGATACCCTTAATAACGGTATGTGGTTTAATACTATTGTTCTCTGTAATGCCTCGTGCCACTGTGTTACTGTAATTATAATTATCTGTATAATTATCTCTTAGAAAAATAAGATGTTAATCTTTTATTTAATAGCTCAAAGTATTTGCTGAGTTGAGGCTTCATTTGTATTACAATGTAATAGCTTATTAAACATACCTTGTGATTTTTTTTTAATCTTTCACTTAAATGAACATCTGAAACATCTCTTATGGCAGGTCGTAACAAAATAGGGTATAGAACCTACCGCATATTAGTCGCGAAACTTAAAGTGAAGGCTGTAAGTCGTAGGTATAAAATAAGGCTACTTCTCGTTAACTTGCATTGGACACCGACAAGTTTCGAGTTTGCGGTTAACGACCGCGTTTTGTAGTACTACCGTCAATGACAAGGTGGCCAAGATATGGTATCTCTGGTGAACGGCACTGAGAAAGACAATAACGCATATTTTATAATAATTTCAGTAAGGGATATATTTAAATTATCATAGATAAAGTACTTTGTCACCGCCAGATGCCGTAGTTTTTATTTATTTTGTCTATAAATTTTATCTACGTACGAATACAGCCAAAAATAAACAAAAATATGTGTAGATACCTTTACGGGTCTTACTGCTTAAGCTTTCTTTCAGAGGCTATTTCTGGCGGACTAAGATTGCACCAAAGGGGCAGGAGGCTCATCTGATGTTAAAAAATACCGCGCGTATCGCGTGTCCGTCGCCGATCTTTAACGAATTGGTACGCTCTTTTCTTGAAGGACTCAAGGCCCTCGAACCCTCTGGCATTGAGAGTGTCCATGGGCGGCGGTATCAGGTGAGCCTCCTGCCCGTTTGCCATCTGTTCTATAAAAAAAATACCTATAACAAAGTAACACATAAACATGCAATTTGAATGAACCTAATTGATTTGAGAAATTACTGATTATAAATTCCTGGATACAAAAATCATAATGGCTACCATTGTAGAACAAACAGTTTAATAGGCAGCTGAATTTTATGCTCTAATAAAATATGCAGGTGTTTCGAAGGTTTTACAAATTACTCTAATGTTAACATCTGCCCTAAAACCCAGTAGCATTGCCTAAATTATAGTTAAACAACATCCAACAAGCTGTAGAAGCAGGTGCCAATTGAGTAGCACAAAATGTATGCGCATGATTTTTTTAATTTACTTGTTGAAGTTAATATGGCAGATCAGTACGTAGAAAAATGTCTTCTGTTAAGTTTGTTTCATCTAGCTTTATGATAATTATATCTCTACCTACATCTTGCATTTTGCTTTAGGTTTGCTACCCCATACTCTACAAAACACAACATTCTAAATAGTTATCAGTTAGTTCACAACATTCTAAATAGTTAGAAGTTAGTTCACAACATTCTAAATAGTTAGAAGTTAGTGGTTCTTATTAATGTTCTAAGTATATAATTTTTTTAAAGAGAGTTTTTCTTTTTCAATTGCTAAGGCTTCACAACAACAAATAAACAAATTTACTTACTTTCCAATCTTAATTAAAAACACTACAATACTATTTTTAACTTGTCATTCGTTTTTGACGTCCATTGAAATGAAGTTATTATGTATTTACGTCACATAATCCAGTCCCAGCCCTACCTACTATTTCCCATATAGAAACCTACCTATTATTACCTTCCACATATATAAATCTAGGAAATCCTCCATAGAAGGCTGTTGCTTATCAAAATGTTTGAATAGGTTTGAGTCAACATCTGCGTTCATATAACAGTAGAAACGTGCTCTTTACTAGAAATGGTAGTTAATCTGTACATTAACAGATAATGTAATCTAATCTGACATATGCCGTTGTAATTTATCAAACCAACCTTGCGGCATAAAAAAAGGAATTCCACGTAAAAATTAAACCTAATTGTCTCCCATATACTAATTCACTGTTTGTACATCGTCTGATTTCGATAAACGATAAAGCATTTAAAAGATAAGCTAATCAATAATCATAATTGTGGGGAAGTACTTCTCCTAAAATCTCTTTGATATTTGCCGCAACCATTAAAGTTGATTGCAGTCAAAATGATAAAAACGAAATCGTTAGTAGCGAAATGCATTTTAAGTTAGACAAGTGCTGTACTTTCTAAGTTGCATACTATATCTACGTGTAAGTGTTTCATAATTTAATTTATATTACAATCATCATATTTCTCATCCTATATTTGCTTAGTGAGATAATTCCCTTCTGTCACAATGGCCATGTCATTTCGTACATTTTCTTCACTTACAATTTCATAAACTATTCCACATTGAGTCTACCATATTACACACTCAAAGTAGGTAGTAGTAGTAGGTATACTGCGTTCCGATAAATCAAAGGAAAAAGAAATAAGAAGAGTTTAGGTTTTTATACTATGAAGCTAGGGCGTGAAATGCAAGATTAAATCAGTTTATTTCGTGTCAAATTTAAATTAGATAACATTTTACATTCAAGCACTTGTTTTATAGAAGCATCTAATTAAATACGAAGTAAAGTCCTGCTTGTGAAAAAATATAACAATACCTTCAAGATTCTAAATTCAAAAATATTTCCAAAACCTAAAGTCAACAACCCCTGACCATTAAATACGAATTAACGAAGTGGAGCATGGACAGGTTCCGTTGATTTAGTGCTTGAACAAGATCCGAGAATCCCAGATTATCTGATTTTGTTTATTTCTGACCTCATATATTTTCAACCAATTTAATTAATAAAACTAAGAGATTATTAAAAATAAGTACGAAGACTTTTTTATTGCGATGAGATTTCTACAATTTCGAAATTGTCGTATAAAGTGAACTTTTATACTAACTGGTATATTAATAGATGTATTCCCTTCTCTAAAGTCAATAAAAGATTATTTCCTAACTTCATTATCAAGTCGTTATGACTTATGAATAATATTTAGTTCATAATGAAATATTCAGTGTGAATTAACAGCTCTTTGCGACCCATTCTGTTTATCTTTAAAGATCTCGATCCATAAATTGTTATAAATTTCATAAATTATTACAATGTTAAAATAGTCTTATCGCTTACTCATTAAAATTTTAAATTAGTCGAATTGTTGATGACATTATGCAAGTCTTCGAATAGATTTCATTAAAGGAATGGAATATAAGTTCCTGATTTGCAAACTGTAATAAATTTTGGTGTTTAATAACAATAAAATATAACTCTTACTGTCATTAGACAAAATTCAAATCATTTCCCATCCATCATTTACACTAGATTACTTTAACATCATTACAGTTTACTATTACTTACGTTATAATGTATCTCGAAATACCCAAGTAAAAGAGATAAAAGTAGTTTTACAGCTTTAGAGTAAGTAAGATGGTAGAAACTCGATCAGGCAAAGTGAGAGGTGTGTATTGAACCCAAAAGAGTGAAAAGGATAGATAATCAAAAGGCTTTTACGGTAGAATGGACAACATGCAGTGAAATGTTGACTCCGTGCGCCTTTTTACATCTCGCTTGAATAAATTGATTCTAAGATTAATCTTTGTTTGCTGCATGTTTTTTTACTATTTTTGTAATCAAAGACATTCCATATACTAAATCTACATTATCGCTCATATTAAAGGCCAATTTCGTATAATTTTATATTTTAAAAGCCTTCACTTGGTAATAAACAGTGGACACGGAAACCGGAAACCTTACAATAACATCATATGTTAAGCAAAGGGTGATGTTTTATTGTCACGGACCATAATGTTCATTTCAGTTCGTAACTCGTAAATCTCAGAATAGCATTCTTTTCAGTGATGTTATTACTCTTACACAAACATTTGTCCCACTTTTAAATGTCCCTAATAAAAGCTAAAACATAAATTATTTTCATTAAAATTTCCTAAACTTAAAAATAAGCAATTAATATGTGACAGGGCAATATTTTATACAAGTTATTTTTTAATAATGAGAAGTATCGTATAAACTGTCGATAGATATCAAACATAGACGTATATATCTGTTGGAGCCCAAATCCGGTCGTCATTAACATTTCCCGATATCACCAGAAGCTAAGAAACGATACTATTCTGTATAAACTGTTGAATGATTCATGAGCATCAGAAGTAACATAATTATAAAGTTATAAATAACAAAACAATGGATATTTCTGCATTAAGATTTCATCGAACTTAAAATATTAAAATTACATTAAAGTGCTTACAAAAATAGAACACACGAATATTGTATGATGAACTCAGATTTTAAAACTTTATTACGATCGCCTCTGAAAGCGTGTAAAGTATCCAAATTGTGAATAATAAAACTTTCGAAAGGCTAACAAAAGAAATTGCTATAGACCCGCTAAAAGTATAGCCAGGTTGTGAAAGATCGTAGGTGGATCGCGTGAGACTCTTTTGATGTTAATAACGAAGTAACAATGTAGAGCTACCTAATTAAACATGTTTCTCGATCCATAAATCTAAATGCTCAACACCTGCCAAGTAACTGCGGAATAAGAGCTGGGTTCGTATCGCCAGTCTTACGATCCATAAGTGAAAGCCATAAAGATAAGCATCAAGTGTAGCTGAAGCGTGTCGTGACTATTCGGTTAGACAACTATAGTTTTATTGACGCATATGCTTGCTTCTACATCGGCTATTAAATTGCAGTAGATATTGTCACATCGGCGTTGCAAAAGTTGTATTTTAATTACATATTATTTAATTGAATCTAAATTTTAATTAGGTATCAATAGATAAAGCGTATGATTAAATATTCATCCCTGTATTATTTATTTTCAGATGATTAGAAGACGTGATGTCGGATAACACTGGAACTGTTGCAACAAGGGCTACGACACCTCGCCCTGTACCTGATAGTCCAGTGAACGCTCCCCTGCGATCGAGACATGACCAATTCCTTGCAAGCTCAGCGGATCGAGCACAGAGGTCTTCATCAAATGGACGTAATTCAGGAAATTTTGATTCGCCACCTCTACCATATCATCGACAGATACCATCTGGTACTCTTTTAACTGCTACCCATCGTGAATCATCAGCATTTGTTCCCGTCGTACCTACTAGAGCAATGCATCCAGTTATGTACCCGAGTGAAATGCATCCTGCATTAATACCATCTGAAATTATAGAAAGGGAAAGAATGATGGACCGAGAAAGGCCGGAACAGTCGAAGAGTTCACCGGACAGAGCGCCCGGTAATTTTAGTAAAAGGAATTCATTCGACTTAATGGCGATGATGGTTGAAAAAAGAAAAGAGGTTGCTCTTAGGGAGGCCGCAGCCGCGATGCTTTTACCCCACCATAGAACTCCATCGATTGATGGCATGATGTCCGATGCATCATCGCAACCTCCTCTGTATGGTCCACCTGGTGCTTTTCTTGGGGCTCCGGGACCCTCACCGACAGCTGCCAACAGTTTTAATTTTCCGGGTGCGGGGTTATTTCCGCCTGGGGCAGGACCCCATCAAATGCACCCACATCTAGATAGAAGACTGCTTAGAGCTCCAGGAAGAGCTTCGAGACCGAAGAAACAATTCATTTGTAAATTCTGTAATCGTCAATTTACAAAGTCCTACAACTTGCTAATCCACGAGAGAACTCACACTGATGAACGTCCTTACTCCTGTGACATCTGCGGCAAAGCGTTCCGGAGGCAAGATCATCTGCGTGATCACAGGTGAGTTACTACTATTGTAAATATCTACAGATTAATGTTCCTTTTTTAAATGATATGAAGATTGTGTATATCTCAATCGCATTTTTGCAAAAACTTTAATACATTACTTAATTATGCGCGTTTTTGTTATTTCTAATTAAAAGACTGGTAATTATATTCCATTCATGTATTAATTTTCTACAACGCTGATCATAGAAGCACATTAACATGCACGTAACTGGGTGTCTGTGTAAGTCAAGTTGCAGATGTTAAGCCGAGTGTGGCCACATCCGCTGCGCTACTTGGAATAGAACATTAATAAAGCTTTTAAATGTGGTTTCTCAGAATTTCATCATGATAGCAACGAGTTACTATTTTCGATAATAGATATTGGTTTATTTAAATTTGATTTAATAATATCGGGAATGTTTAGCAATGTCTATGAGGCTGGTGTCTTTGACAAGAATATTTCATAAGCTAGTTCGTTGACTCGGGACCGTTTCAAATTATTTTATTATACTATAAAAACTGGACACTCACGGTCGTATTTTCTTATTGAAGAATTACTTTTAACAAGACTATTTACAACTTATAAATTAACTGTTATTAAACGCTTGTATTACATGTAACTTTTCAATATTATTTATAAGTAGTAGTAGTAGTGTTTTTTTCCCGAATCAATTCGACTTAGGGTTCAAGAAAAGAGCCACGTTAAAAAGGCCGGCAACGCACTCGTGAGCCCTCTGGCATTGAGAGTGTCCATGGGCGGCGGTAAAAAATATATTAATCTATATGTTCATTTTCAAAGCACAGAACACTAATTATATATTTAAAACGAATCCGGGCAACCGTGTGAGCTGTCAAGAAGTCTACGATAAAGTTAAATTGCCATCCAATAAAATAATTCTGGTTTCCAATCAGTGATAAAAAATAAAAATCAAGCGTAGAGGAACCGGGCTTAGTAGTTTTTGATGATTCCTAATACCTCGTGGCTTCGTCTCGCATTTAGTTTTTTACGTACCTGTAATTAGTTTAAAAATGATGACTCATCCATTTCTATTGGAGGCCCCGGCGGTAATGGACTAGGTACAGTCGGCATAAATTGGTTAACAATACTTTAGAACGATATTACGATGATAATAGATTTGAAAATGGAACAAGGTGCTTGTAGAATATAATTACTACGTACATCATTTTATCAAAGCGTTTAGACATAAAAAGATAAGTTATATCTATATCAGTACAAATGAATCGCAAAATATGTTGCTAAGCTCAATACTTGACGGCTGGACCAATACGAGTATTTTTTTTTTAAATTCATAACTTGAAGTCTGTAAAAGTTAGTTTCAGGGTAGCATAGCAAAGTGTTCCATACGTACCTACTAAAAAGCTAGGCTAAGTAAAAAAATCATATTGAGGCGAAACGAAGTTCGCGGGGTCAGCTAGATTTAATAAATTATAAAATTATAAAACGAGTTTGAATATTTCGTGTTTTAGATTTTTTACTGTCGTTACTTGATATGATTGTATTACCGAACTAAATCATTTTTTACAAACATCTAGATCTCCTTTGTTGCAACTCAATGGACGATTAACTATTTTTTGTGTATTGCGAAATAAAATCGAAAAATTATTATTTATGGACAAAACTGACAAACTATTTATACTTTTGTCTATGCCATTGTGATCCCCACCCACTCTCATTTCCACGTTTTATTTCGTTCAGCCCTTTTAAGACATTCAGTTAGTTCTTAAAAGGCAAGTTAATTAAATTCTATAACTGCATATATTTTTTAGTAATTTCAAGACCATTGATTTGACCTTGGTATACGATATTGATTATCGTATACCAAGGTCAAATCCATTATCACCTTTATAATATGCAGTATAACTATTATTTATATTTCTTTAGGAAATGTCTAAAACACTATTTCAGAATAAAACATTACCTACTAAAATACTTTTCTGTTCAAGTAACTTTCAAATCAAGCTTTAAAGCAAATTATTAGCTAAAACTTAAAATTTCGAATTCCGAATTTAGCTTTTCGAATATTAAAACTTGTCAACAATTCCTCCGATTTTGTCCACCTTAATGGTAACGTCAATCATAACGCAAAAAACCCGAGTGATGTCAAGTTCTGAGATATTTGCTTCATTGTTTTCGTATCGGATTGCCTTAAAAACCGCAAGATAATGTCTGTTATTACTAAGGCATAATTAATAACTCCGGAGATAAAATGCGTGACTGCTTATGACCCTTCAAGGACGGCACATGGGACTGCAAACTTCCTACATGTGAATAAAGCCTTTTTGATAATGTACGATACGGCTGTGACTGAATTAAAAACCGTTGTATATAACTTGTGATTTTATAAGTATTTAAGTGTAAAAAAATATTTAATATATACATAAGCGCTTTAATAAAAGCACATCTTATTACAATACAACAATAAATAAATAAAAAATTAATTAAAAGATGTAATCACGATGTAAATAGAGTATATATTTGCTTGAGATATTTTAACTCGGCTCATATGCAATTATGAGTCGTCTGAGAGCATATATAATGGGGACTGGTCTTACCTACTCGTTTCGATCGCTCAAGGGGCTGGAGCAAAAAGGGATATCAAATTAATACTGAATCCATAATAAATCAAAGTGGGCAGGTGGACTGAGTCGCAAGAACTGTTTCGCCTACGGATATCTTGAGAAATTATCATTTTGGTCCCATTCGAATTATTTATACTAAATCGATTGTAAGAATGTCTGATATTCAAAACAGTCAAAACGATTTCAGAAATTTCGCCTCCGAGCGAAATTCGAATTGTCACGCAACTGGTTTGAATCGACACAACCTTTAAATTTCGTTATTTATACATTCATAACTTACATTCTATATATACCTACAATTATTATGAAACAAAACACTTAGGCAACGCAATATTTGCGTTAAAATTGTTGATCAACAACCTCCAAATTACTATCCGTTGATTAGAAAATTTCTCATACATGTATATCGTGAAGAGATGAGCCTGCATTCGAAATAATCGTGACCAAACTCGTGGAATAATTAACTTGAAACATCGCGCGAATGCTCGTTGATTTTATAGTGGCTTTTGAAAGTTCTCTCTTGCGCAACTAAAACACAATTTTTTCCATTTACACCCGCGGCCTCAAAAAAATCGCTTAAAAGTACTAAGTCAATAAATTGCCTCGGGTCCGATATCAGAGAAAAAGATCGCAAAAATGTTATAACTTAAAATTGCTCGAAAATTGAACCAAACCAGCTTGGTGAAGCGATGTGATTAAATTTATATCAATATAAGGATATTCTATTGTGCTGGTTGCGTGTTGAATTTTTTGCTAAATTCGAAGCAATCAAATTAGGTTCTCGCGTGATATTGATTCGGAGATTTTTAAATTATACAGAAACGCTAAACTTGATACGAAAACACAAAAAACGATGCTGAATTTTTTAGATGATTGAGTCTAGATTGGCACTTCATAAATTAATTGAGGGTTGGTTATACGAGCTAGTAACACAACTTTAACGTACTTTAAATGTGAATTGTTTTAATTAAGGCCGTGGATACAGAATACTTTTATAAAATAAACTTTCAATTAACATTCTCTAGATAAGATCGCTACCATTAATCAACTGAACTTGTTAAAACAGAAAGTTTCGCGGTATTTATTCTTATACAACCTTAAACGTTGTCTTGATAAATATGTCCACCTTTTGTCCTATCTTCTTTCTTTTGTTTGTGTTGTTATGAAAAGTTATTTTCTACAACTTTTTCTATATTCTTCTCAATGTTTGTAAAATATTCTTATCTCATATTACATTATGGTTCAGAATATATCGACCTTTCTCGAAAGTTTTTCAAATTAATTTCTTTTCTTTACTAAAAATATACTGCATTGATGCTTCTGGTTATTTTTGCATTCAGATATTAGCTGTTTTATTAAAAGTTTAAGAGCAGTGTTGGCCTATTGGCTTCAGCGTGCGACTCTCATACCTGAGGTCGTAGGTTCGATCCCCGGCTGTGCACCAATGGACTTTCTTTCTATGTGCGCATTTAACATTTGCTCGAACGGTGAAGGAAAACATCGTGAAGATACCAACATGTCTTAGACCCAAAAAGTCGACGGCGTGTGTCAGGACCTGGAGGCTGATCACCTACTTGCCTATTAAATTTAAAAATGATCATGAAACAGATTCAGAAATCTGAGGCCAAGACCTAATGAGGTTGTAGCGCCACTGATTTATTTTTATTTTTTTATTAAAAGTTTACCCTTCCTATTTGATATCCTCTATAACATCTGTATTAGGTACGATTCAGCAAATCATACAACTCGTGTGGGTAGAAATTTATGTTTATCGTCGATTTAACGTTTCTCCGGTACTTAATCTAGTTTTTAAGCTATAAAGCTTGTAGTAGCGATACGTTGGTATGAAACTTGTGGTTTGTGGTGTTAAGTGTCATTGTACAAGTTTCGAAATTTACAGATGGTATGGTGAAACGGATAGTGCGAACGATTCATACAACTTATACTGCGAGATGTAATGTGCCGAATTCTTTGATGTCTGACCTGTCCTAAACTGATTTGAAATAGGAAACTATTGAGTTAGTTAAATGCAAAGATTCATAAAAACGAAGTCGCTGAGTCGCCTTATCTTAAAAAATCTTTGTGCTTCGCGGGTATTAACATATAAATTGATAAAAAGTGCCAATAGAAATGATTCTATTTTAATTTATCTAAAATATTTGAATCAAGTGATTTTACAATGTCACCAAAATTCAATTCAATCTATGTATGGCACAGAGATTTCAAAATAAAAAACTTAAACTCTTCCGTGCTTCGAGATCTCAGTTCAAAATATTTCTGAGTGGTGTGGAGAGGCTCTGCAAACAGTGACCGGTCCGTGAACAAACATACGACTTTGCGTCCCAAGAATATTTATATTGACATAACATCTCACGGTATTTGTATATGAATATTGTAATTATTAGATGGATCTAC